TTTGTATCCTTTTCTATCTCATGCACTTCGTTCGCGAAGCTATTGTGCACTGGCCCTAAACCTTTTTAAGGCCTTTCTCCAAAATGTTCCTAAATGTTTGCGTTGCGTAACTGACGCGTTGGTACGCAAGCGCTGTGACAATATCAAAGCATTGATACCAATCGCAAACAAAAAGTTTGGTTTATGTTCCTCTTATCCCTGTTTGCAAACCAATGCGTCAGTACGCAACGCAAACATTTAGGAACATATTGGAGAAAGACCTTTAAAGGAAAATAACTGAAATATTTTAAGGTACTTTTATACTTTCTTGGTTTTTGACGATGAATTTTCACGGTGAAATCACTGAATTTGATTGGCTCTGTTAAAAATATTAAATTTTCATCATTTTTGAAAGATTCAAGGTGCTTATATACCTCAAATTTCGATCAGATGAACATTATTTCTGGACCGTGAAAATGCGTGAAAAGTCATTTTCACGGCGGGTATTTTTGAATTGTTTTAAACAAAAAATGTTTTTTTTAAGAAATATAATATTAAATAATTGTTTTAATATGTAAGAACACTTTAAAATAGTGATAAAAAGATGATTTAATTGAAAAATTTAGCAAATTTTGCTTTAAAACGTTTTCTGCTACAAGAAAGTGTAAAATGACGATGTTTGTGAAATGGTTTGTACAGTGTACATGTGTACATGTTTCTTTCAGTTATTCGAAACAATTAGTTGAATTTAAATTTATTTGACAAACATTTCAACTTACCGATTTATTTTCAGCAGTCATTATTTATTACAAGTTAAAAAGAACCGACATAACATAAACAAAACTCTGAGAGACACTAACAAGGAAGAAGCACTGTACAAACCATTTCACAAACATCGTCATTTTACACTTTCTTGTAGCAGAAAACGTTTTAAAGCAAAATTTGCTAAATTTTTTAATCAAATCATCTCTCTATCACTATTTTAAAGTGTTCTTACATATTAAAACAATTATTTAATATTATATTTCTTAAAAAAACATTTTTTGTATAAAACAATTCAAAAATACCCGCCGTGAAAATTACTTTTCACGCATTTTCACGGTCCAGAAATAATGTTCATCTGATCGAAATTTGAGGTATATAAGCACCTTCAGACTATGAAAATGAAATATTTGACAGAGCCAATCAAATTCAGTGATTCCACCGTGAAAATTCATCGCCAAAAACGAAGGAGGTATAAAAGCACCTTTATTCAGGGAATGTGTTTCCAAAGTATAAATAAGTTGAAAGTCCTAAATGTTGCATTTCATAAAAGCAACATTTGAGACGTTCCACTCTATAATTTGTCAACACAATAGCACATCCCTGTGTATACAGCTTGAGTTTCATTACCCTGTGAAAGGCAAGTAAGTATGGTAAGTTTATTCGATTTATTCCGTTTATTCCACGGTTTATTTCTCTGTGAGTATAAAATAAATTATACAAATTAAATAAGTAATGGATCCAATAAGAAGGCTTGCATTAAAAAGTATTGAAAAATTACACTATTCTGTTATATTAGCATGATAAGAAATTCCTTTTATATTGCATTTTTATACATATAATTCTAATTCATAAGATAGAAGGTATTTTCTATCAAAAATTTAATCCTTTTTCTGTTCCCACCGGTGACATAACTTTTGTGTCGTTTTGTAAAAACTTTTTAACTTTAAAGAAATAATTGTTGATTAACTTTTTTATTTAGAAAATGTTTTCTATAGATTTTTTTATTAATTTTCAACTCTACTAACTAAATAAAATAAGCATTTTACAACGACAAAACTCATTGTAAAAAACAGATTTTGTTAATTCAAAACTTTTTTTAGTTTCTTTAATAATTATAATAAAAAAATTACTTCAATTTTAATTCAGGTTATGTTTGATAATGTTTCAATTTCAACTGTCATGGAAAAGAATACCATCTACTGACGATAAATATATACATAAATTATTAACTTTTTAACGAATTCTGAATTTAAAAAAATAATGTTGGCCCACATCGTTTATAAAGAAAAGTGTACTATTTAGGGACCAAAAATTGGTTTTTTATTTTTTAAAACATGAAGTATCGTTTAGATCATCTTGGCAATAATATATTTTATATTTAATGTAACAATTATTTTATAGAAAAAAATAAGATGGTGATGTAAAAAGAAATTGTTTTAAAGTAAAAAAAATTTTTTTTGCTGCCGGCTGAATCCATTTCAAAACGTACAGGCCGACCACCTTCAGGTTGTAGATTTTTCTGTCGATGAAATATGTTATTCTACATGAAAAATAAAGGGACACGTATTTTTTTATTTTTCATAAAAATTATGTTTAACGAAGTTATGGTCATTTGAAGTTTGAGTGGTAAAACTCGAAAGAACAATGAAAAAAAATTGTTTCGCCTGTAATTTTTTTCTAATGAATGCAATCAAATTATTTTTCTTAATCAATTTATTTTAAAATGAAATTTGCAAATATTAATTTCCAAATTGAAAATTAAAACTTTAAGTTTTTTAAAAAAATTTTGAATGATAATTTGAATTGGAAAGTATTTCAAGAGTATATTATTAAAAGAATCACAATATTTATAAAAAATATTTTTTCTTTTTTCGCCTTTTTATTAATTATATATTTATTATCATTGGTCTTAACGATACTTAAAATGTCAAATTATAAATTTTTTGATGTTTAGAACTTGTTTGAAAAAAGTGATTTTATGGTTATTTTCTATACATACATTATTGTTGGTTATAAAATGACTCATTTCAGTTAGTTCATTTGTTCTTGAAACTGCACGTCAGCCATTTCAAATTTCCTAAAAAAAAATATTTCGAAAAAAATTTCTCCTTACTACCAGGATTGTTTAGCCCACTTGAAACTCCTAGGATTGGTTCTTCATATTGGTAAGAATTTATGGTAAAAATTTGAGAGAAAAAAAAGTGGGGTTTTTGAAAAAATTGACTTTAATGATTTTTAGAAAATCATCTCCTGTTTTGTTAATTTTGAATCTTTTTTCAAATTTCAAATGGGATTTTAAAGAGGAATATATCCTCTACAAGATCCAAGAAAAATAATTTGATTGCATTCATTAGAAAAAAAATTACAGGCGAAACAATTTTTTTTCATTGTTCTTTCGAGTTTTACCACTCAAACTTCAAATGACCATAACTTCGTTAAACATAATTTTTATGAAAAATAAAAAAATACGTGTCTCTTTATTTTTCATGTAGAATAACATATTTCATCAACAGAAAAATCTACAACCTGAAGGTGGTCGGCCTGTACGTTTTGAAATGGATTCAGCCTGCCGTCAAAATTGGGTCGTCAATTTTTTTAAAACCAATTAAAAATTTGTTCATTTCATGATCATTTAGCTTCCTCATCATGATAAACACTTATATTTGTAAAATATTCTATTGTTATAAACATTAATTAATTAATATCTCGAAAACAAAAAAAAACGTCATTCTAGTTTTTTTTGGTATTGAAAGTATATGAGGCATTTCATATGAGAATACTGGGTCATGTCTCATATTTTTCTCAAGATTCGATAAATTGTAGTGATAGTGGTGCTAAATAAATGTACAAATTTTGAATTTGAAATTTTCAATATTTTTCGAGATATTTACAATAACAAATTAGAGATTTATTATTACTTAAACAATATTCATGATTTTTTTCGCGCTTCTAAATGAGGGAGAACATGTTTAAATAAAAGTTATAAACAAATTTTATTTTTTAAACAAATTGTTTAAAAATTAATATTTTTTTAAAAAAGTAATTTTTTTCTAAAAGTTTAAGGTCTTTTGCGTAAAAAACATTCACAACATTTTTCTCTATTTTTAGTAGGAAAAAAATTATGAGTAAATTAAAAAAATATTGCTCTAATTTGTTATTGTAAATATCTCGAAAAATATAAAAAATTTCAAATTCAAAATTTGTACACTTATTTAGTATCACTATCACTACAATTTACCGAATTTTGAGAAAAAATCCGAGACATGACCCCGTATTCTCATATGAAATGCCTCATATATCTTAAGCTTCATTTTGAGGGTAAAAAAAAACAAGTGCCTTTTTGAAAGAAAAAATCAAAAATATTTTTGATTTTAAAAAAAGGGGTAAATTTAAAATTTTTTTAAAGAAATTTTTCACTACTCGAAAGAGCACAAAAAAATCTTTCGAAAACATATAGGTCAAAATTTTTTTCATCCATTTATATAGAAGTTGCGATTTTTTAAAAAAATCCACTGTTCACATTTGCGACTAAAAACTTAAACCCCCTCCCCCCTCTACAGTTTTGCATAAAACTTAATAATAATTTGTAGGTGAAGTACTCACCCATAGTACTAAAATTTGTGCAAATTTCAGCCCGATCCGAAAACCTTCAATTTAAAGTTGGATCACTTCAGGAATTTTGACTCATATATATTTTTTTCATGAAAATAGATTCAGCTTATTCGGAGAAAATCGAAATTTTTGAATTTCTCAAAAAAGCGTATAATTTAAAAACAAAATCAAATATTTTATTATACATACACTTTTAAAAAGTTTGTATTCTAAAATAACAAAAAATTATATAATTATTATAAGATTATATTATTATTATTATTGTTATTATTATTATTATTATTATTATTATTTACATTTTTTATTCAATTAATAATAATATAAAGCTATCATAAATTTATACACATAATTGCTCTAAATCAGAATTAGTTAAAATAACGAATTTTTAGTAAAATCTCAGCTGAACTTTTTGTTTCTCAGTGATTAGTAAGATGTAACTACTTTTTTAAAGGAAAAATTACTGAAAAAATTGTTTAAATTTAACTAATTTAATTATAGTTTCCAGAAATTTTAGTTATTTTACCATAACAAAAGTAAATTTAAATTAGTTATTTTTAACTACAAAATTAGTAAAAATATTACTGTATATTCGTGTGTTATTATTTAAGGTTTATTACAAACGTTAAACATAAGGAACCTCTGGAAGAGGAAAAAATGATTTTTTTATTTATTTATTTGATGTTTAGTATGAGCTTGTGAAATAAATACTTCTAATTCGTCTTTTCCAAAAACAAGTTTATCAACAATTTTTATTTATTTTGAGTAATTAAATTAGAGTCAAATGTATCCTTATTTAGATCACAATTGTCTCCTTATTTTTTAGCCAAATTAATTAGCCTTTGAGTAAGAAAACATTTCGATTCATTTTTTTTCGTCAGTATAATGAAATAATATTATGCATTCACACAACTAGAATTGATTGATTTTTGTCAGCTTCCCAATAAGTACTCCCAATAGGTAAAAAACTGAGGGGTAAAAAATAAGTAAATTATATTAAATTTAAAAAAACACTTAATATTTGACGTACCTTCTTTTCTTATGTGGAACTTGAACTTATTACTTTCTGATTAAAATATTTTATTGCCAGGTTTTTTTATACTAAAGTCTTTATTTACTTTAATTGAGAATTTTAATGCGTTTTAAAAAATTATTTACTCATCATTGACGTAATTCATTTAGTTTACATCCGTATATGTAATAATATATGTTCTATTTCCTAAGTTTTTTTTATTTATCTATTATATTGATACAGTTGTTTGAATGACGTACACTTATAATAGTTTATAGTTTTTACTATACAATACCGAACAAAATTATGAGTATAGAACTTTTTTTTTTAAAAAAAACTTACTGCATCATAAAGTTCATTGCGAATTTAAACCCTACGTGGGTTAAAGTGCGATCTTTATTACCGACTGACGGTCAAATTTTTTTGTAAAAAATTCGCTCCTACTAAATAGTACTGTAAAATTTCATAATTCCATCATACTACAAAAACGTATTTCTGATATTTTCTAAACTTTTGTTAGTTAATTAATTGAAATTATTCAATACTTTTAGAAATGCAGGCCGTCTTTCATGAAAATAGTAAATTATGTAATTAATTATTAATATAATTAATAATAATAAAAATAATAATAAATAATAATGTAAATAATAATTAAATGATTAATAGTAATTATTTAATTGGCGTAATTAAATTTTTTGAAGATGTTCAATATTACTTTCATGAATGAATGAATTATTGGTCAAACGATACTGGAAATAAATATAACAAGTGAAATTATTCATTTAAAATTTATATTAATTTATTCATTCATTTTTTTTTTTTTTTTTTTTTTTTTTTTTGAAATAATACAACGTTCTTAATTTACAAATGTTTTTTTACATTTTATACGTTTGTAAAAAGCTGCGTCTAAATGAATATTAAAAATTGATAAAATTAATTTGCGTATTTTTGGTAAAATTTTAATAAAATAGAAAATTATTAATCTCTTCGAATCGATAAAGTTGCAGCCTTGCTGCGTACTCATTATAGAAACATATTAAGGGAGCTTCAGTAATACACGTAAAAAATTTTGTTGTCAAAGTCGTTGAAGTAAAAGAATTTTATAGACGTGAACTTTTGATGGTTTCCTGGCGGATCGTAAAATATTAATGTGCGACGAACTCGTTGCACATTCGTAGTTTGTAAAAATAATATGAAAAATGCAATTGTATTTAATGAATTAACTATTAAATGATTAATTTTTTGTATTAAATTACGTTGCAATTATTAAATTATTAATATTTAAAGTGATTATTTTCACAAACTACAAATGTGCAACGAGTTCGTCGCACATTCATAGTTTGCGATCCGTCAGGATTCGGACAAGTGTTGATTAAACAAAATTTTCTATTTTATTAATTATAATAATAAAAAAAATATTAGTTTTGAAAAAATTATACATATAGGTATACATTATACCTAATTTAATCACAAATCTTGTCTGTATATGAAAATTGTTAATAAAACTTTCTTTTTTTTTTAAATATAATTGAACTACCTTCTGATGAAGTTGAATTTCAAAGGTCCATTTGGTGAGTACATGGGGTTGATGTAGTAATCCAATTTTTCATGATGATATTCAATTTTGAAGGCTTGTAAAATCTAAAACAAATTAAATTTTTTTTTGATAGGAACAATCTTTGAACTATAATCGCTTAAAGTGGACAAAAATTTTCGGAATTTCAAATTTTCGTATAATCGCCTCCGGTATATCAGAAGTCGCTGAATAACCTAATCTAACCCTGGAATTCAAAACCTACGTTTTTCATTCGGTTTTGTAATCGTTGAAACCACATCCGTTGTCAATTTTACCCCATAATGGATAGGGTTTCATTAGTTATGTCAAAATACTCATGTCATGGGGTAAAATGGACTATGCGGATTTGGTTACAATGATTTCAAAAAAGTATTTTAAAAAAACATATGGTTTTTGAGGTTATGTCAAAATCCTAATGCGATGGGGTAAAATGGACAAAGTATTCGCTTTCATTGATCCCAAAAATGTATAATAAACATTTTCTGTACCCCAGGCCAAAAAATTTTTTTTGGCTGTTGTTATTTATATATGTGACGCCGCACGAGAAAAGGGACCTATCACTGAAATAACATTAGGCTCAGTTTTCCGAGCACTGTACACGGAAAACTAAGCCTAATGTTATTTTAGGGATACGTCCCTTTTCTCGTGTGGCGTCACAATTAATATCATCTTTGTAATTTCGTGGTTATGATAATTACATACAAATGTAAAAAAAACAGTATAGTAATTCTCACCTTACTGATCACAATAACCATTTCAAGATCAGCAAATCGTCGCCCGAGGCACATTCGTCTTCCAAAGCCAAAGGGCAATGAGGCGAATGGATGACACATTTTTTCACCGCCCAACCAACGTTCTGGCAAGAATTCCTTACTTCTCGGGAAGTATTTGTCCTGATTACTAATCACGTAGTGTTGGAACACGACATGCACCTGTCAAACAAATATTTGCCTATAGTAATTGACTCCGAAGGTTAAACACATGTTTTTTTTTTTATCATCCGTCTAGGTTTACACTATATGTTATATCAGTCAATTGCGCACAGTCGCGCCTCTTTAGCGGATTTTCTAATATTGTATCTCAATATTTTACATACATATTGACGTGTTACAAAATATTAAAGAAATTAAATAAATTTTGCGAGCTATTTCAAAAGTACCCCAAAAATATTTCTTATACTTCGTTAGCTTCTTACACCCAAAAAATATTTTTCTTTGAAATAAAGAAATCAATTTTTGAACATAATTCTTAACGTTTGATCTTTTGGTCATTTTGAACATTTGAAAATTCAAATTGCCAAAAGATTGAATTAAAAATTCTGGTAATTCGATCTTTTGTTAGACTAAAATAAGACGACTCTAAAGATAACGGTAATGATATTGTAATTAGCCTTAGCAATGATAATAAAAATAAAATATGAATTATTATCAAATGAATATTTATAAAACTTACGCCTTTTGGTACATGGTATCCGCCAATCACAGTGTCTGTAGTGGTACAACGTCCATTACCAATAACAACCGGATACATTCTATTATAAGAAAAAAGTGATAACTTTTTTTTTATTGTATATGCAAACATAAAAGTCATCATTATCCCATATTATGAAAAAATTATTATTTATTTTAATTATCGAGAGTTTTTTTCAAAATTTAAATATTTTCTTTAATGAATATAACATTTTTAACGCTCATTAATTTAAATGATTGAAAAATATTTTCCATTTAGTTAATAATTAGATTATAATAGTAAATTAAATTTTAATAAAAACGTTAATAAATTGACTATCTCATTTTTTAATAATGCCAACAAGAATATTAATATAATAATTTCTTTGATATTTATAGTCATTTTCATCAGCGATTTCTTATTTAGAAAATGTAATAATTTATTTGATATATTAAAAATATTAATACACTTTATCAAGAAAACAATTTGCCACCTATTAAAATATCAGAAAGGGAAATACGTTTTTTTTTCAAAAATAGAATGTAAAATCATTTTTTGATTTTTTATATATTTTTTAAAGAAGAAAGGATTACCTCAATGTTTCTCTTATGCAAGCCTTCAAGTACTTTAAGTCATCAATATGTTTAGCTTCAAGTGCTTCTCCATTTGTCGGAAGTACTTTGCAAATCTCTTCATGTACAAGTGCTTGTTTTTCCGGATGAAGTGCCAATTGATATAGAACCGATGCAACAGAATTTGATGTCTTTAAACAAACAAAAAAAAAATACTAAAATATAATTATAAATTTACGAATTTAATCTTCAATTTTTGTAAAATTAATTAGAATTAATAATCAATATAATATTAAAAATATTAAATTAATTTTAATAACATTATTAATAATAATAAATTAATAACCAACAAAATTTCTTTAATTAAATAAACCACAACCGATGCGACACTTAGATTCACAGTTAATTTCTTCGAAGAAACAGTGAACATTTTACAAAAGTTTTTCATACTAGATCATGAATAACCAAAAATATTTCCTTAATTAAATAATATATTATCTCATATTGGGTAATTTTTTTTTCGGGTTTACAAATATATTTTTTTCAATATATGTTAAAAAAAACGATTTTAATCATTGCCACAAACGTACAATTTTTTAAGAATAAATTTTTTCATTAAATAAATTAATATACTCTGCAACATGACAAAACGAATCCTTATATTATTTTTAAGTGCTCCATAAAATTTTAGCTTAATCTCAAGTTTTTAAACGTGCGGAGAAATATATTATTTTAAATAAATAAATAAATATTGAATATGGTAATTTTTAGATTTTTTAAAGAAAAAAGTATGTAAAAAAATTCAAGTGATTTATTATTATATATTTTTAAAATTTAGTTATTATTAATATTTTTTTGACTTGGATTGATTGATAAATTTTTATCTCTATATTATTATTAAATATAAATAAAAAATTAATTTCTTATACTTACTGTATCGATACCAACAAGGAATAAGTCTAAGGCAAGAATTGCGGCTATTTTTGAGTCATTGTCTAGGGCTACAACTCTTTCTAAAAGGGAAAGCTCTGTTTTCGATTTACTCTTTAATTTTGATCTCTCCAAAGCCTCTTTCGTATATCTTGATGTAATTCTATAAAAAGATATATAATTTTTTTAAGGACATTCATATAACCGAGAATGCAGATCTTCAGAAATTTTTTTTTTTTTATTAACATTAAATAAATTTAAATTCTATCATTAATAATTTTCACTAATGAAAGAACAGATACGAATTTTTATGAAAAAAAATATAAAAATTATTTATTTATACATTTTGATCAAAATTTTCTTTACTTTCTTTTAAGTAAATAAAAAAAATATATTCAAACTTTTCAATTTAATTAAATTTGAATTAAATAAAAAATATTTTTATAATTTTTTTTATTAATTAGAAGGTTTTGTATGAATAAAACGATATTTGGACCATTGACATTTTATAAAATGGGATGAATTTGAGATTTTGCATATTAAGCCAAATCTAAATAAGCGATTATTTGCTGAAATGTTTTTTTTTATTAAAAAAGAAGGATATAATAGTTTAAATAAAATGACAAATTTAGAAAATTTTTATAAGTTGAATGGCATAATTTTTAATTTTATAATTTGAAATGATAAATTGCTCATTATCGTTATATTTTCTATTTCTCGTATAATATTGTTTTTGTTTTTGTTCTGTTCGATTTGCAAATTTATTTTAAGGATTCGATAATGTTTTGGAGTTCAGTTTCAAAATTGACGTTGCAAACAGCACACATATTTTATATTATTATTTCTTATTGATTTTATTTTATTATATTTTATTAATTATTGTTATTATTTATTTAAGTATTTATTTGTTTATTTATTAATTTTTAAAAAGTGGATTCATTTAATTGGTACGTATTTATAATTTTAATTTTCTTTTCAATTATTTAAATTTTTAAAAATTAAATAATTTATTTTATTTAATTAATTTTATAGTAAATTTAATTTATTTATTTTAGATTCAAACTCCAAACTCTATGTTTTTCCAACGTTATAGGGTTGTTTTTATTTAATTTGACACTAAAATGACTGTTTAACTCTATGGCTTGACATCTGTTTTAATTTGGTAAGATTATTGAAATTTAATTTATTATTGTAGTTTATTTTATTTTTATTGTATTTGTTTATTGATATTTTATTGTAATTTGATAGACTCTCTGAAAAAGAAATCATTTAGATTTCGAAACATTGAAGTAAACTTTTATTAAAACAACAATGGTCCGAATGTTATCGTTTTATTACATAATTTTATACATCTATGCCAAAGTCTAATTGACTAGAATTTTTTAATAATTTTTTTTATAATTTTATTTTATAATTCTATTAAAAATTCAATCAATGGTAATACTTACTTTACAATAGTGTCTAGAGCATTAACAAATGAACACCAAGTTGGCGTGTTAAATATTTTCCAAAAAGGAATTTTCAACTCGAGAATTCCAACATTTCCAAAAAATGTCGTCACAGCATTAATTAATTCTTGAGTTTCCGCTGGTGCATTTTCATCCAAACATCCCAATCGAACATCAAGTGCAATGAGAGCAATTGCTGAAAATAATACAGAATAATAATTTTAATTAAATAATAATTTAATAATATTATAATTTTAATAATAAATAATTTTTAGAGAACGAAATTTTTTTGTGCAAAAATGATATCGTCTTATAATTTAATAAATAATAAATAAATTTTTATTAATAAATCTTTAAATTTGTTCTTTTAATAAATTTTTTTATAAATAATTTTAATTTAATAATAAATTGATTGATAATAATAATAATTTTAATTTTTAGGAATAATTTAATTTGAATACTAAATTATTTAAAGATAAATTTTGTTGTATTTCTGTTAGTAATATATTTTGTTTTTATTTTTTTAAAGTAAATATATTATTACTTACATTCCAAAGCCCATTTATGAATTTCGTTTAAAAAATCATCGGGAACTTCATTGTCAGCATTTTTAATATTGTCGATCCTAAAAATTTGATTATTTATATGAGGAAAAATTTCTCAAGTGTTCCAACATCAAAAGTTTGAACAGTGGATTTAAAAAAAAAATCGTAACTATTATATAAAAAGGTTAAAAAAAATTTGACCCATATGCTTTTAAAAGGTTTTCTCCTGCTCTTTCAAATAATGTAAAAAAAAATATTTTTAAATTCAAAATTTAACCCTTTTTGTAAATCAAAAATACTTTTTAACTTTTTCTCAAAACTTATTTCTTATATTTAATTTTTTTATAAAGTTTAAAATGTGTACTTTCAGTAAAAAAATATAAATATTTTTTTTATACTGAAAGTACGTTTTCAACTTTATTAAAAAAAAATTAAATACTGATTCTGAGAAATAGTGAAAAATATTTTTGATTTTCCAAAAAAGGGGTTAAATTTGGAATTTTTTGAAAAAAATTTTACACAACTCAAAAGAGCAGGAGAAACCCTTTCGAAAAAATGTAGATCAAATTTTTTTTTAACCTTTTATTGTTGTAAATTAAAAATTTATAAATTTTTTTTTTTGACCTTTGCAAAAATGAAATACTGGCATCTTCAATTTCGCCGATATACATTCTTGCAGTTTTTGGTTGGAGCATGACTTGTTGTACTTTACTGCGAAATTTGTACCAACTTTCACCGTGTCTGTAAAAAAAAAAGAAAATGATAATTTATGAATGAATGCACGAAATTTCAAGGTAAATTATTGATAATATTAGGGCAATACGCGGTATTCTTTCAACATCGATTCGAGACCATATTATTAGAGATCGTAATTTTCTCTGGACAGCATTTTTTTTTTTTTTTTTATTTATTTTTTATTTTTATCTTTGGAGTGATTTATTAGTTACATACAAAAAGTCAAATATTTAACAAAGGGAATTTTTCCGATTCCAAGAATTTTTTTTCGTGACTAATAAGAAAAAATTGACATAAATAAAAAAATAGAATTTTTTTAAAAATTAAAACGGATATAAAATAATTTTTTTAATATTTAATATATATTTTTTTTCAAATATTAAAATTATTTGCATAACAAGTCGTCGGAAATAAGATTGAGATAAAAAAAAAACAGTTGTCTAATTCGCGGAATTAAAAAGTAAAATTGTTATCTTGATACATATGTTCGTAATAAACCTCATTTCCATATTTCTAAAAAGTAGTTCATTCATAAATAAGATAAATTTCTCAACAATTCTGAGGGAATTTTGTTTTCTTTTTCTATAAAAAAAAATTCAAAAATTTATTTTTCGCTTGTAGAAATTTTGAAAAATTATTAATAATTAATCATTTTTTTAAACAATTGTTTATTTTTTATTTATTTGTAATTTTTATACAAAATGTTATTGTTATACATAACTTTATAGATTTTAATTTAAAAGTATGATTTTCTTTGAAGCATTTTTCATGTAGTTCTGAATGCAAAAAAAAATTTTTTCCAAAAAAAAATATTTAGTTTTAACAAAATTAATTCTTATTTTTCATTTTTAACCTTTTTTTCTCACTCTTTGAAAATTTGTTTGTTATTGTTATTCGAAAACTGAGATTCTTTGCAATAAACTATGAAAATTTAAAAATGGAACAACAATGGGTTTGCGAAACAAAGAGTAAAAAAATCAAAAACAATTTAAATAAAATAATTAATGTAAAACTATTTAGCACAATAAATATAATAATTATTATATAATAATTTTATATAATAATAATATAATTATAATAATTACATAATAATAATTATTATAAATAATATATATTTTTATTTATATTTTGTATAATATCGCATACTGGAAAACTGAAAAAGGATTATGCAAAGGTGTTAAAATGTGAAATATAATATGATTAAAGATTATATATTAATATCAAATATATATATTTGAAAGTATAATAGCCTAAAGCTATGTTCATACCGTGTGAAAGTATTACATAAAAATTCAAAAGCCCTACCCAATGGGAAAATTATATTGCCATATAAAATGAACAAATAAATGATTTTTAGACACCCCTATACCTTCAGGTGTTAAAAAACGTTATTTTTGTTTCAAAAATAAGAAAAATTAAAAAATTCCCTTTTTATTATTATTATTAATTATTATTAGAAAAAATGAAAAAAATGTACCAAAATTATCAAAATCGAATAATTCAACTTGATATTAATTAATTAATTCTTATTATTTACAGATTAATCAAAGTGTGATCATAGAATAAAAAATGGATACATTATTAACCTATACAAGTCCTCTAGCAACTGTACAGCTTATACCAATCATCAATTATTTAACAATGTTTGACTACATCATTGGTTCTCTTGTATTTGATAAATATCAAAATATTTATGGTTTTTTGGCAGAAACAATTCATGGGCTAAAAATTTATAACTTAAATATCTAATGCCAAAAATAAAAGAAAAACTTGCAAATATACTACAGCATTTTTTTTTAAAATATTTTTATTTTTATCTTTGCTGTGATTTATTATTTACATGCAAAAATATTTAACAGAGGGAAGTTTTCCGCTTTCAAGAATTTTATTTCGTGAGTACCCAAGAAGCACGTAATATATCCTCAATATCAAGGTAATATTACACGTGAGATTCGTAATATAACGCTGTAATATTACAGTAATCTTACAGTGATCTTAAAATGTCCGCCTCAAGGTAATATTACCGGGAATATTACTGTAATATTACTGGGAATATTACTGTAATATTAACGGTAATATTACAGTAATATTACAGACTGATTTGAGTTATTCATAAAGCATAAAAAACGTAAATATATTATAAGTCAATTTGGCTTGTTGGTAAAACTCTGGACTCGTGTGCTTTGAGTTCGGGGTTCGATTCCCTGGATGGGTAGATTTTTTCCGTAAAGAAATGTTCCCATAATATTACTGTAATATTCTCTTGTAATATTCCCTTAATATTACGGTATAATATTACTGCAATATTACTGTAATATTACCTTAATATTAGCGCGTAATATTACAGTAACATTACCGGTAATATTACCTTGAGGCGGACATTTTAAGATAACTGTAAGATTACTGTAATATTACAACGTTATATTACGAATCTTACATGTAATATTACCTTGATATTGAGGTTATATTACGTGCTTCTTGGGTAATAAGAAAACAATGAAAAATAGAAAATTATTTTTTTTTTAATTAAATCGGATATAAAATTAATTCATAATTCAATTAAGATTATTTTCTGCTTTATATCTAGATATTTAGTGCAATAAAATTTGGTAATTTCTTTCAATTTCGAAACATAAATTTATAAATGATCGCGTAATGAACATCGAATTGCAAAAATATTGTGTGTGTGTACATGAGAAATTATTGCGAATAACCAATTGCGCGATGACGCAACCATTAGAGTAGACTAATTTGTTTTTTTTATCCAGAAATGTAATATAGGTTTATTATTGCTTAAATAGGTATACACTTTATATACAGAAAAGTTAATTTCTTCTAAAATATGTGAAACTATTTCCTTTAATGTTTTGTTCACTGTAAATATAGATAAGTATTGCCAAGAGTTTCATTTTTTTGCATATTTTTTTTCTGCATAAATAAAATTTAAAATAACACAATAGTGCAAATAAAAGACTTAAGAGTCTATATCTATCAATATATACGTTTGAAATGCTCATTGATGCGGTGCACATTTATAAATATACAATAATCACTAGCTTTCACTATTTATAAATGATGTAATCGATCGTTGCACTTGAATAAAATTATTTATTTTCTTGAAGAACAATGATTAATAACTGTTACATGAAGTTCAAGTATAGATGTCATTGCTCTATGAAATAAAGAGGGAGGCAAACATTCTTTGTTTTAAAAAAAGTATGATTATTATTTTATTATTATTTATTAAAATTAATTAAAATTATTTTAAATCCATTGTTTATTATTATTATTATTACTATTATTATTAAGGTACTAATATTATAAAAGGACCAAAATATAAAGTTCAATTTCAAAATTTTTTTTTATAACGGAATAAAAAATTACTTTATTAATTTTTTTTAACTATACGAAAATTAAAAAAATTAAAACTTTCAGAAATTCGTTTTTTTTTGAAAATTTGAAAATTCAAATGATCGAAAGATCGAATTTTCAAAAAGCAGAAAATTACCAAAATTCAAAATTATTCAATTCTATTTGTTTAGATAAAAGATAAAATAGAATTTTTTTTTTTTGAATTTTTATAAAAGAAACATTCTGTTCCTCAGTATAATAGAGTTCATTTCATGTATGTTTCTTTTTTATCAAGATCAACATGGATAATAGTGTTACGAAGTCATTAAAGGGATTATATTATTGCGAATTGGGACGCTACTTTTGTGAAGGACAAAATGAATTATTGCTGTGAGAAAAATTCATTAAAATTATAAACACGATTTTTTTATGATGCTTGCATATTTAATTCTTTCTCAAATATATTTAAGTTGCATTCAAACGAAAGTGAAATCTAATTATGGGAACATGTACATATGATTCAATTATACTTGATTTTTATTTACGTAATTGCTCATTAATTTTACATTATATAGCCTCTGATGATAATATTTGTTAAGAAAATTACATTTAAATGCCTTAAATAGAATGTAGGTTTTTATTTACTTTTTTCCTTATTCAATTAAATTTTTTTTTTTTTTTTGATCTGATATAATTTTACACCAAAAGATTTACACACATTTAAGAGTTACACTCGTTGAGCAATTTTTCATTTCAATTTTTTCTAATAATAATAATAATAATAATAATAATAATAAATAAATCAAAAATAAAATAAAACTTTAAGAGCACCTGCCAGTATGTGTATGTTAAATAAAAAAATTATAAAAGCAATCAAAATTAAAAAATATAAAAAAAATTTTTTTTAAAAATTAATATATTTTCATGCTTAAGATATTTTAAGCATTCGGTAATGTTGAGAAATTTGCAGGTATATAAAAAATATATAGTATATAGTGGGAAATATGTAAATAAGATATATATATATATATATATATCTCAAATACAAACTTTTATCACATCATCTTTTATTTGAATTCTGTGAATCATATTTCCAGTTTATGGAATGTATTTGAATCAATTAGAAAATTTTTTTTGTAACTATTTTTGTCAGTACATGTTATGCAAATGAGGTCGATGTCACGGATTTTTTTCGTTCTTCTAGTATAATCGATAATGAATTGAATTCTTTAAATAATTGATTTAAAAAAATAATTCAATTCCTAAATGATTGAATATTTACAATGAATTTAATTTTTTTAAGCATTTGCTTAAAAACGCGCTCGCGTTTTTTTTTTTTTTATTTTTTTCTACGAGGAAAGTGCTGGAAAATCTTTATAACTCTTGAAATTAATTTTGACAAATATTACTATATTTTACTATTTTAGTATTTACTATATTTTATTATTTTTATAACTTTTTTTTATTTATATTTTTTATTTTTTTAAATCAAAAAGATAGTAAAAAATTATATTTTCTCTAAAAATAAAAAGGAATAAAAAAAAATGCAAAATTCTGTTTAATATATATTTTGAATGAAAATAATTATACTTACACACCAATGACTCCAGGTGTATCTTGAAAGTAATCCTTCCTCATTACGTGTTTATAATAGTGCAAGGATGGCATCGATGGTCGAAATGGCATTTTCTCTTCCTGTCTGAAAAGCCGTTCAATTTCATTTGCATCGTACACGAATACCATATCCGGTCTATTGAGTAAACCTTCCATTTTCACAACATCACCGTATTGTTGATGTAACCTTTTTGAAACTTTGTCTACTTCCGCAATATTATAATCTCCTATAAAAAATCAATAAAGAATTCAAATTTTTAGCAATACCTATTTATCATTTTTTTTTTTTTTTTTTTTTGACCCAAATTACATATGACCGAATAAACATAACAAATAAAAATTTCAGCGCGAATTTCAAAATTGACCAATCACAATTTTCTATTCATAATTTCGGATTGGTCGAATTTTAAAATTTCGCGCCAAAATATTTCTGTTGCTTGTTTATTCGGACATTTGTAATTTCGGTCAAAAAAAAAAACAAATTACTTATCAATTTTCCTTTTCAAAAAATGAAATATTCATCCTTTATATATTTATTTGAAATTATTTCTTAAGAATATATTAAATATTTAATATTCTAATTTAAAAAAAATATATAAATATTAAAATGAATAAAATAATTTTTACCTATATATGGCAAAAATCGCCATGTATTTCCAAGAATTGGAATTGGCTTTGGTCCAGGCATTTCAGTGTATGGTCTAATGTGAGACAAATCTTGTTGACGTTCATCGTCAATTGTTGTAATTGTTTCTACTGTTTTTGACCATTTTCCTGTAGAAATACCACGAACAAAAAGAGGTTTCACAATGTTCGAAATACTTCCAATTGTCGTCATTTTCATAATCTAAAAAAATATATTTCTTTTTTGAAAATTTTTCAAATTTTTATACAAAAAATTGATCTATTTTTAAATATAAGGGAAAATAAAAAGAAATAATAATAAATAATAAAAAGAAAATAAAAAGTTGAAAATAAAAAAAATATATTGAAAATTAAAAAAAAAATCTACAATTAATTTAATAAATAAATAATTAATTTTTCCGAAAAAATTTTATTATATATTTCTTATTTTACATTAAAATAACAATTAACAATAGAATTTTAATTAATTAATTAGAAAATAAATTTAATAAACAATAAAAATAGCGCATTTTTACGATGAAAAAAAATATTTGAGAAAAAAAAATTATATTTACAATAATAATCTATACGATAATGTACGAGGACATTAATTTTTTAACAACTAGGTGTAAAAAAAAAATTTTATCTTCATTTCCCCAATTCACAAAGTATTTTTCCTCCTATTTTACATAGTTTTGCATTTGGCTATTAGTGTAAAACGGCGCGCCCAAAAGTTACGAAATAGAAGGTAATATAATAAAAAATACTAAAAAAAAAGAAAAAACTGAAATTTAAAAATTTAACTATATTTAAATATTTGTTTAATTATTTTTAATTTTGTTTTAAATTAAGCAATAAATAAAAAATTATTTAACAAATCTATTAAATATTAATTTAAATAAAAATTAATTAAAATTTTAATTATTATTAATTGTATTAATAATAAATAATTAATTATTAATTAAATAATAATAATAAATTAATTATTATTATTTAATTATATTAATTATATTATTATTAATACTAATTATTAATTAAATATTAATAGTTTATTAAAAGATTATTATTATTTTTTTATCAGAACACTGATAAAATAATAAAAATTTTTTTTTCAAATTTAAAAATAATTTTTAAAACATTTTTTTAATTTACATATATAGTTTTTTGAAAGAATCAAATTTTTTTTAATTTTTTCCAAAAAAACCATTCATATATATATTATTTTCTAACGGCATTATACAGTTTTAGGAAGCGAGAGTTTCCTTCTTTTTTGAAAGGTTCTCTCTATATATATATATATATATATATATATATATGTAGATATAATATATCTAAAATGAGCGTAATTCTATTTCATAATAAATTTAATTGTGCGAATGTAACTTGAATTACAATAATAAATGTTTATGTGATTTTAATCCACGTGTTTATAGAGCAGAAAGTAATATTTATTTATTAATTGAAATTGAAGCTTACGACCTGTTATCAAATTTCTTTGGAGATTTATGAACATACATACGTATATGAATATGATGAAAGTTATGAAAATTCTTCGTTTTCACTTTTTACTATTAAGGGCCCGGCCTTGAATCTTATGAAATTTATTTCGATTCAAATTATAATGTTCTTTATTAAAACATAATAATAATTAAATAACAATAATTATTACTATAAATAATAAAATAATTATTAAAAACAATTAATTAAATATTATTAATTTTATTTTTATTAATATTATTTTAATTATAATTTAAAATAATAATAAAATAACAATTCAATTATTTTTAATAATTAATTTATAATTAGAATAATTTTATTATTATTAAAAAAGTAATTAAACAATTAAACAATTTGTCAATATTTAATAATAAATTAGTTATAATTATTAATAAATTATTTTACAATTATCATACTTATGTTTAATAATAATAATAATTTATTTAATATTTTTGAACTTATTAATTTATTAATTAGTTGCATTTTGAAAATTTTTTTAACATAAAAATTAAATTTGCTATTTTAGTTTTTAGATAATAAATAATTTTGTTATAAATATTAATAATAACAATAAAAATAATAATAATTACAGTTTTGTAAATCCGTCTACAATCTAAATAAATAATTTATTTATAAATTAATTAGCTTATTATTTTATTTATTTATTTATATGATAATTGTAATTTTTTATAATAATTAATGTTAATATTAATAATTTTAAAATAATTTATATTATAATAAAAATACCCGTGTGGAAAAGTGATGTGGGCCCCCAGCGGGGGCCCTTATGGATCGCCCTCATGCCATGAGGGCCGCATATGGATGATCCATAGGGGCCCCTCATGGAAACGACATGCTCATCGATGAGGGCGCCCGCATGGGCGATCCATGAGGGTGCCCCTACGGGCGCCCTTATGGGCCCTCACGTTTGCCCTCATCTTGCCCTCAAGTTTGCCATAATGTTTTTTAATCAATAATATTAATAATAAAAGTTAATTAATAATAAATAAGCTTAAGTTATTAATAAATAACATATTTATTTAATAATTATTCAATTTTAAATTAAATTCTTACTCAAATTGAATTTATTAATTAACGTTCTAATTAATTAACTGTCGGATATAATTAAAAGTAATAATAAATTAATTAATTAAAAAATTAAAAAATATGTAATTTATGCATACTATTAACGAATATTTTCATTTTTCAATTAATTCATACATAGAATTAATGATTAAACACAAACCTGAGAAATAAATAAATCTAACGCATGGGGGGAATCGAACCTACGACCTACGGACTATGAGTCTAACGCTTTACCAACTACGCTACGCACGCTACTTCGAAACGAATGCTAACTTCTTGATGCTATTTAAACTTGAAAAATACCTAACAAAGAAAAGTGCTTAACATCATTTAGTTAAAGTTAAGATATTAAATTATATTTTCCAATCAAATGCAATTTATAAAATATAATTAATTATATGCTTTATGATTATTATCATGAATCATCTCAGGCGAATTTTCAAAAAAGTGTAAATATATTTTTATTAAAAACGCGTTATTCGTTGTTTTCAATCATTGGAAACATTCATTTTTTGTTGATAAAAAAATATTTGATTTTTGAACTTAGAAAATTTTGCTAATCGATCATGAGGGCGATCCATGCGGGCCCCTACGGTGGCCCTCATCTATTTTGCCATAAGTGTGAGTGTTATTTTCAAAAAAGTGTAAATATATTTTTATTAAAAACGCGTTTTTCGTGGTTTTGAATCATTGGAAACATTCATTTTTTGTTGATAAAAAAATATTTGATTTTTGGACTTAGAAAATTTTGCTAATCGATCATGAGGGCGATCCATGCGGGGCCCCTACGGTGCCCCTCATGGATTCGCCATAAGTGTGAGTGTTATTTTCAAAAAAAGTGAAAATATATTTTAATTAAAAACGCGTTTTTCATTGTTGTGAATCATTATAAACATTAATTTTTTGGTGATAAAAAAATATTTGATTTTTGGACTTAGAAAATTTTGCTAATCGATCATGAGGGCGATCCATGCGGGGCCCCTACGGTGCCCCTCATGGATTCGCCATATGGATCAGCCCTCATGGGCCCCCGCCGGGGGCCCCGAACTCTTGAGGGCAAGATCGTGGCTTTTTCCACACGGGTATTTATATATTATTAAAAATTTTAATAAATTTCAATAAACATAAAAAAAATTTAATTATTTACTTATTGAAATTGGAAAATTAGTAAATAATTTTTTTTTTAATCACTTACAATGGAAAATAAAATTTTTCACATATATTAATTCCCAGAAGAGAGATGAAAAAAACAACGTGTAACGTCACATTAATATGAGAATTTAGAATTTAAAATGAATTTATAATCACATTCGATTTCAACAAAGAATAAAGATGATCGCGACTCATAGACACATTTTTTAAAATCAGGCGCGCTCTAAAGAGTTAAATCCACTTCTGACTTGGCGGGTATTTCATTTAATACATTAAAGCCTCTATGTCTAGTCCCATAGGAGAAGCGAAGAAGATATAAAATAAACATAGAATAGGCGGGGGGGTGGGAGATTTGAAAGGAAACAGGAAAACATTCATATATAAGTCTTTTGTAATTTTCAGTAATAAAAGAAACACGATACTTTTCAAATCTCTTACGAATTCATATCATTTATTTTTTTATATTTATACGAATTTAAAAAATATTTGTGTAACGAAAAATTTCTCGAAACAAATTTACGCAAATTTTATTAGGATTTTTTACAAAATTTACAAAAATTATTTAATTGTAATTGTGTTTTTTTGATGAAAATAAGAAAAAGAATGTGTTTAAATACGAAAAAAAAGAGTTAAACATGGAAAAAAAATTTTAATTTTGAAAAAAATGGGAATAGAAATTTTTTTTTTTAGAAAACTTTTTATGGCATTGAAAACTACATGAAAAACCCTACAAAAAACCCTATTTTCAAATTAAAATCCATAAACTTATGTTGAAGAAAAATAGGTCGGAATATACCACTTCAAATGCTTCTTAATTCGCTGACATATTCCGACCTAAATATCTTTAACATAAGTTTATGGATTTTAATTTGTAAATATGGTTTTTTATCAGGTTTTTCATGTAGTTTTCAGTGCCAATATCAGTTTTTTCAAAAAACAAATTTTTAATCCCATTTTTTCAAAATTAATACTTATTATTTATGTTCAACTACTATTGAACATTGAAAATAAGTGTTAGTTTTCAAAAAAAAGGAGGTTAAATTTTTTTTTTGGAAAAACTGGTTTTGGCACTGAAAACTACATGAAAAACCTTATAAAAAAACTCTATTCACAAATTAAAATCCATAAACTTATGTTAGAGATATTTAGGTTGGAATATGCCAGCGAATTAAGAAGCATTTGAAGTGGTATATTCCGACCTATTTTTCTTCAACATAAGTTTATGGATTTTAATTTGCAAATAGGATTTTTTGTAGGGTTTTTCCTGTAGTTTTCAATGCATAAAAAGTTTTTTCAAAAAAAAAATTTCTATTTCCATTTTTTTCAAAATTAAAATTTATTTTCCATGTTTAACTCTTTTTTTGGTATTTAAACACTTTTTTTCTTATTTTTATTGAAAAGTTAATAATTTTTCTAATAATTATTTTTTAAAAATAATATTACTATTTTTTTTCTTCCTTCCATTTTTTGTCGAAGTGAATTATTTTGCTTTAGTTGTAAATATTTTTAGTAACTATTACCGTTTATAAGTATTATTATCTAGTGCAACTAATAAATTACGAGGAAACATAAATTTTTTTCCCCTTCTCTAAAAATGCTTTTTATACTTTGACGACTAAAAGATATTTTCTTTCCCCTCACTACGTTTCTGTCCCCCTTCACCTTTTTTTTAAAAACTTACTTTCTATATATGTGCCACTGAATTAGGCTTTGTAAATTATTTAACCTTCACATTTATTTCTCTAATTAATGAAATATGAATATTAATTGCAAACTTAAAAGTTACAGGTGCATAATAAGAAACATTTTAATTTTTTGCAATAATTTTAAAATATTACAAATTGTTGCGAAAAAAGTATGAAAAAAATTTTTTTTTATTATAACTAAAAACTAATTTTTATAATAATAAAAAAATAAATTTGTTTACCTAACCATTTTTCAAAAAAAAAAGAATATTTAATTTTTATTATCATACTATTTAATGATTTAGTAATAATAAATACTTACCAAATGTAGATGAAAAAAAATAATACAAAGCCTATGCTGTTAAAAAAAAAATTTTGTTTACTGGAAAATAAATAGACATTTGAAGAAGTTTGGAAAAAAAGAAAAATATATATTTACAATTAAATATTTACATAAATAATGTAAAATTTTGTATAGCTTAAAAATTTAATATTGTAATATGAATCAAAAAAATTCTAATTAAAACAATTGAATAATTTTTTTTTCTTTTCTCATTTATTAATTTTTTTTTTCTTAATTAATTGTCATACCACTTTGATTTTACTTGCAATGAGTTCACGAGTTTTTCCTTATAGCTATTGACAAGTTTAGCAAAATTTTTCTCATCTGAATTTACTTTTTTCTTTCCTTGTTTTGGCTGCAAAAAAAAAAAAAATGTGACAATTTAAAAGTTTAAAAATCAAAAGAAAATTATCATTTTAAAAAAAAATAATAACAACTGACCTTAATTTCTTTTCTTGATTGAGCTTCATTTTGTTTTTTCTGCTTCAAAAACTTTGTCATTTTCGATTGTTTCTTTTTATTTTTTATTAGATCCTTATATAATTCTGCTTGTTTTTCAACTTTAAATGTTGGCTTTCCTTTAACTTTCGTTGGTTGACTCATAATTCCCTGATAAGAATCAGTCTGAAAAGTAATTTGCAAAACAATTCTTAAATTAATTTATTTCTTAAGAATTCTTCTCATTAAATTAAATCGAAATTTTATTTATAACTTTAAATAGTCATTTTTTTTAATACAATTTGATTTATTTAAAACAATTTAATTGTATTAAAAAATGACCATTTTAAAAAACTATTAATAAAAAATATTGTTAAAAAATATTATTAATAAAATTTAAAAAAAGAAAATGGTACAATATTTAAATAAATAAATAAAAAAAGCCGAAATCTAAAAAAAATACTAACCGTATTTTTGAACTTTTGTTCTTTTTCAATTTTTGTACGCTTTCTCGGTGGTCCTTCGGGTTTTTCTTTATTTCCCGTCCAAAGAGGATTATTTTCACGACTTTTATTGAATCGTTTCTGTTTTGCATTAACAATTATACGATTTTCTATCGAAAAAGCAACAATTGGCCTCTACAAATTCATGTAATAATTATCAAAAAATTTTACATTATAAAATAAAGAATAAAATAAATTAAAAAATAAAAAATTTACACAATAAATTAATAATAAATAAATATTATTTTATATTAAAAAATAATACTTAAGTAATAAAATCAATAATACAGAAAGGTAAAAAAAAAATTTAAAGTAAAAATAAAAATTCAGACATAAAAATAGAAACACAAAAATAGAAAATAGAAACAATATAACAAAAAAAAAAAAATAAATATTGTAAAATTAGAAAATATTCCCTAACAATTTTTTTTTAAATGGTAATTTATAAAAATAAGAAATAAAAACCTTGTGCTTTGAAAAAATATTTGGATTATTATTAATGCTTCTTAAAGCTTTCAAAGCATTTTCATGTTGAGTGAATGAGACAAAACCATATTCTTTTGATTCTCCAATTCCATTTGCATCTGGTTTTCTTAAATTTCTCATGACTCGCGCCTAAAAAATTGTTTTTTTTTTAATCAATTATTATTTTTCTGCTCTTTTCAATGTTTTTTTTTCAATGCATTAGAAAAAAAATAATAAAATTGAAAAATTTACTTCAGTTATGACTGCATTTGGTCCAGAGTGTTTTTTGAAAATTTCCCTTAATTGTGAATCATTCATTGTTGGCGGTAAATTTTGTACAACAAGACGAATTCTCGATACAAACATATTTAAATTGCGTAAAATTTGCGATTTCCATCGTTCAAGTTGTAAACGTTTCTCAATATCTTGAGCCGATACACCGACTGCCGCCGGATGACGAGCAAGAATTACTGAATAAAAAAAAAAAACGAACATTATTTTCAATTGTAAAATAAAAAAAAAAAAATAATAAGCAGTCAAAGAAGTAGACGCATATTTTTTTTAAATACTCTTTAACAAATAATAATAATCCGTGCGATAGACATAAATTTTAAAAATATAAAAAAAAGGTTTAAATACCTCCTTCTTTGACTAGATACAAATTTCTCGAGTCCTTGACTTTTTCTGATTTTGAATTCTTTCTTTCAGCCACTTCATTTTTATGAAGCGCACGATGTGGATCTAAAATTTGATCAAAAATCTTCAATTCTGTTCCAGCTGTTAAACATTTTTCAGCGTCTTCAACATTCTAAAAAAATTAAACGAAACAAAAAATCAAAAATATTTCTTATTATTTATACTTATAAAATTACTATTTTCATCAATTCTTTTTGATATTTTTACTATATTTTTTTCAAAAAGTATTTAAACTTGAATAACTTACAAGAAAAATAAATGAAAAAAAAAATTTTCTATATTAAATAAATACATATTTTTATTTATAAGTAAATAAATAAAAAATAACCTGGAATTTGACAAAAGCTGTTCCTTTCGAATGTTCCGTTAATGGATCAACGCAAACTAAAGCATAAAAAACGGGTCCAAATTGTTCCATGCAATATTTTAAATCCTCATTTTTTGCTTGAAATGGGACATTTTTCAAAAAAACCGTTTTTCCCTCACTGACATCATTAGAAACTCTACGTGGTCTCGAATCATCATTTTCTTCTTCTTCGATTTTAAATTTTTTCTCATCTTTTTCCTCATCATCATCATCGTCATCTTCATCCTCCTCCTCCTCATCTTCCTCTTCTTCTTCTTCCTCTGCATCTTCATCATCACTTTTTTCACTCTTCACTGAAGATTCATCTTCATCTTCACTTTTTATCATTTTTTCCTCATCATCAGATTCTATTTCTTCTTTTATTTCAATAACAGAAACGTCATTTCCAATTTCCGTCTCAGTTTCCTTATCGTCGGTGATGTCAATTTCCTCATGCTTCACTTCCTTTGGTGTATTAAATTTACTCTTGGGTACTGCCCAATCAACGACAACTTCCCTATCGAGAAGTGGTTTTAAATTTAAATAATGAATGGCTTGCGCTGCACTTTGTACGCGTTCAAATTGTACAAATGCACAGCCAACTGGTGTTCCATTGGATTTTTTCAAAATTTGAACATCCTCAACGTTACCGTATTTTGAGAAAAGATTTTTTATATTCTCCTCTGTGGCCTGTGTTAAAAAATATTTTTTTAATCATGACAATAATAATAATAATAATATTTATAATACCATACATTGTTTTTTATTAACATTTTCATGTTAATTTTAGTAAATTAATTTTAATAAATTAAAATTAAAAAATTAATTTTAATTATTTTTTTTTGATTAATTAATTACAATACCTGAAAATTAGTTTTTTAAACTTATTTTTAAATTAATTTATTAATTACCTTAAATGACAAATTTCGAACGACAATTCGCGCTCGTTTCTTTTGTTTTTGAACTTTGTGTAATTTTCTATCTTCTGCTTTTGAGAGATTTTCTTTTTTCTTACGTTTTTTTGATTTCACCGTTTCCTCGTCTACTTCATTTTTATTTTTCTCTTCATCTTCTTGATCCTCATTTATTTTCTCATTATTTTCTAATTTTTTATCAGATTCTTCCTCATTTTTCACTTTTTCGTAATATTTTTCCTTTGATATTGCCCAATCACTGCTTATTGGTCGTCCTTTAATTAATAAAAAAAAGAAAGAAAAAAAAATTTATTTTCAAATAAATCTCAAAATTAATTAATTTTTTTTTCTCTACATAAAATATACGCAATAATTGAAATATTTTTTTAATTATAATTAAATGTAACAAATAATTATTATTATTGTTATTGAAATATAATTATATTTCAAAAAAAAAAAATATATAATTTTTAAAAAACAAATAACATTCGGATTTTGAAATTAATAAGAAAAAAAGTAAAATAAATTTAGAAAATTATTAAATACCTAAAAATTCTTGTTTATTGGTTTGAAAAATAGCTTTCGATGCGTCTGTTACTTTTTTAAATTGAACAAAACCACAACCCACTGGTTTTCCATCTGGACGTCGAAGTAAATTGATTTCTTCAATTTCGCCAAAGGGTTCATAAAGACGTCTAACATCGGCTTCTGTTATCTATATAATTTGATAAATTTCAATAGTTAAAAAAAAATTAACACAACAAATAATAAATAAATATAATTATATTTAATAATTAACAAAAATTATATTTACAAATATTGTATTAAAAAAATTATATTTACAAAAATTATAATTACAAAAATTATATTCACAAAAATACAAAAACAGGGACGAAAATTATATTCGTAAAAATAGGGACAAAAATTAAATTTGAAAAAATAACTTTACTTATTTGAAAAATTTCTTTTTAAAAAAAACTTACACTGAACGCTTGATTGATAAGTTAAAAATTTGTTTAATTAAAATATTACTACGATTTTGAACAAATAAATAAATATAATAAAAAAATACAAAATAATTTAAAAATAAAGAATTTTTTAACTAATTATTAGTTTTAGTATAGGAAAATAAAGTATTCAAAACCTTTTTTTTTCGTTTTCTTTTATTTTTAGTTATTTTTTCTTTTTTTAAAGAATTCCATAAACCTTTTTTTTGTCACTAAAATTCCTCAGTATTTCTCCATAAGTTAAATAATTTTTTTTTCTTCCTTTTTTTCGACATTTTTTTCTTTTTTAACGAAAAAAATTACGAAAATTTCATTTTTTTTTAAAAGAAAATATTAAAATTAAATTTAAAACACACCTTGAATGAAAGATTACGAATAACGATTCTTCCTTTTTTATTCTGCACTTGAATATTTTCACTTTCTGTTTTTGTTGATTTTCCCAATCGTTTTTTTTTATTTCGATATGACCAAGATAATTTCTTTTTACCTTTAGAATCTTTTCCTGGGTAAAAAAAAAAAGAATTTCTTTTCTCAAATTAAAATTCATATTTTTAATTTAACAAAAATTATTAGGTTCCACGTGAAGAAAATAAATAAAATTTATAAGAAAATTTTTTAATTCAAATTTTACAATAAAAATAATAAATATTTTTTTAAAAATCATATTTTTAATAACAAATTATTATTAGAAAAACATTAAAATATAAAATTATTGAAAATTTTTAACATTAATAAAAGCAAATTAAAAAAAAAATAGTAGAAATTTTATTTATAGTCAAAATAATTAAAAATCGTAAATGAAATTAAAAAAAAGTATTTAAAATATTTCTTTTACTTTAAAAATAGGTTTAAAAAGACTAAAAATTTAAAATTTATAGTCAAAATAATTAAAATCGTCAACAAAATTCAAGGTTTTGAATTTTATGAGAAAAAAAAATGTAACGAAAAATAGCAATAAAGTTTAAAATTTTTTAAAAATTATATAAATACCTTGATGTGGTTTTCCCATTGTTACTAATTCAGTAAATATTAGTATTTAACAAAGGCAATTACTATATTTTTAACGTCACTAAAATATTTACATGTGCGAATCTTGCGTAAATTTCTTTTTTTTTTGAGGTTAGATTGTCAGGCAAAAACAAAAAAGAAACACAAAGTATTTTTTTTTTTTTTGCTAATTTTTAATTGGAAAAATATTTGTACTACCGTTTATTATACTCATATTAATAAACAATTTTTTATATATTTTAAAATTTACATACTTATATATATCAACAAAAATTAACATGTGATCGCTCTGTAACAGAATTGGATCATTAAAAATCGAATACGTACAAAGTTGCGAAAAAAAGTGTTACTAAATTTCGGATGTTCTACTCTTTACATCTACAATTTACGTTTATTTACATGTCATACGTGACTTACGGACATACGTTACGGATATACGTTCCCAACTTTGGGTTTTTGATAAAACCTGTTTATTTCATAATTCATGGTTTATTCGTCCGTTGATAGGTTGTTTTGAAAAAAGAATTTTGAAATTTTGTTTACCATTTAATTGCATTTTTTTTTATCTTTGACAATAAAATTGTTCTTATATTATATTTAGTGTTCATATAAAGTTGAAGTTGATTAAATATTAATGTTATTCAGTTAGTGAAATTAATTACATAGGATAATGTATTTTCGGAGTTCTTTGAGTTGACAAAGGTAAGTTAACCTCAAAATATTTATCACGCGTGATTTAATATACACAATTGTTTTTTTTTTCTTTGACTAAAACAAAAATTAGTACAATTTAACATTCAAATGATAATAATATAACTAATTATTTTTTGACATAGTTTATTTTATATATTTTTTTATTTCCCTCAACAATAAGTATCAAAATAAAAATAAATTCTTTCGAAATTACAATTTTTTTTCATTAAAAATTTAATTATTACATTGAAAATTTAATAATAATTTTTTTTTTAAATTTTAAATTAAATTATAAATTAATTAAATTACAAATAAATAAAAAGAGAAATATTTTTCTTTTTTTGAAAAGTTTTTTTACGAGACAATTTTTTCTCAGAAATGAATTTTCAGAAATAATTTTAAATTAGCAGCAAAAAAGAAAGAAAAACGAAAATCATTTTTCCAAATATAAATAATTCAGGACAATATTTTATTTTACCAACAAATTTTAGTTATAAAGAAATTTTTATTTTAAATAAAATATAAATTTTAATAAAAATCCATTTTTTTCTTTAAAAAAAAAATTGAATTCAATTATTATTTAATACTATTTTTATTATTTATTTATTTAGGGTATTATTATTTTTTTTATTAGGTATATTATTATTATTATTTTATTTTTATTATTTTTTATTTATTTTCTTTTGTTAGGTCTAGAAATTATTTCGAAAAAAAAACAAACAAGAATATAAATTTTATTGAAAATTTAATTATTTGTTTTCTGAATAAAAAATTGAAAATTCAATTTTCTTTTTTTCTATTTGTTGAGAATAGAAATTATTTAGAAAAAAAAGAAGAATTTTTATTGAAAATTGATTTATTTTTTTTTCTGGATAAAAAAAATGAAAATTTAACTTAATTTTTTTTTCTTTTCTTGAGAATATAAAAATTACCTATTGAGGGAAAAAATCGAAGAAGAATGAAAATTTAATTTGTAAGATTTAATTCTTTTTTTTCTCAATAGAAAATTGAAAATTCAATTATTTAATTTTTTTTTCTTTTCTTTTATTGAGAATAGAAATTATTTAGGGGATAAAAAAGCAAAAAAAAAAAAAAAATACGAAAAAAAAAATGGCGAGCACAGGAGAAGAAAATATTTCCTGGAGAGAGCCAACAATTAGAGGAAGTTTTAGTAGTTCTTCAAGTAATTTATCACAAGGAACATCACAATTATCCCATCAATCAACATCATCGGCTGAAACACTTCTCTCATTGGACAATACAATATTAAATAATTTTTTTGAATCCGATGAAGTGGAAAATAATTTAACACAAACGAAATTTTCACAATCTTACAATAATAATCAAAGCAATTGTAGTCCATTGTTAAAACGAAGAAAAAGTGATAACAATGATGAGACACATGAAAATACATTAAATGTCGATCATCCTGAATTTGAAATACTTTCAGTATTAAATAGTTCATTTCTTCATGAAATGTCGTCTAATTTTGGCCGCAATCAAATTGACAGTCAATTGGATAATTCATTTTATGGATTACCACAAAAAATGAAATATTTGGTTCAAAAATATAAGGGAATCGATGAACTTTATGGTAAATTACATTTTTTTCTGTCTATTTTGCAAAAAAAAAAAAAAAAAAAAAAACAGAAAATAAACTAAAAGGTCAATTCATTTTATTTTTCCAAAAGTCGTTGATTATTTTTTTAAAAAAATTTTTTTATATAATTTCACGATAGCCACAAATTAAATTAGGTTTCAAAATTATCCAAATTTCAATTTGCCAAAATTTTAATTAATTTTTAATTTCAAATTATACGAATTTGAATTTGTCCAAATTTTAATTGATTTTCAGTTTAAAATTTTCCAAATTGAAATTTGTCCAAATTTTAATTATTCAAAGTTTAAAATTTATACAAATTTGAATTTTTATTGATTTAAATTTCAATTTATTCAAAATTTTATTGATTTATATGTTTCAAATTATCTGAATTTCAATTAATTTTTAGTTTTAAATTATACAAATTTCAATTTAACGAAATTTCAAATTAACTTAAGTTTCAATTTATTCAAATTTTAATTTATTTTCAATTTCTAAATATTCGAATTTTCATTTGTCCAAATTTTAATTTCCCGCAGTTTAAAATTTTCCGAATATCAATTTATCCAAATTTTAATTGATTAATTAATTAATTAATTTTCAGTTTCAAATTATGCAAATTTTAATTTATCGAAATTTTAAATTAACTTAAGTTTCAAATTATTCAAATTTTAATTTATTTAAGTTTCCAATTATCCGAATTTTAATTTGTCCAAATTTTAATTTCCCGCAGTTTTTAAAATTTTCCGAATTTCAATTTGTCTAAATTTTAATTACCCTAATTGTTTTTTTTATTTTTTTTTTATTACAAATGTTTACAGTTTTCAAATTTTTTTCTTTCCTCGTTACCCATGTTTCAAATTAAAATACCAAAGTAAATATAAATAATTCTTATCAAATAATTTTGCTAAAAATTGAATTATATCGAAAATAATAATTATAAAATTTTTCTTGAATATAGAACGCAACGACTTTAGATGAAATAAAATTGAAATGAAAATCCAATGACAAATGAAATTAAAATCATTAATTTATGAATTTATTGTTATTTGTAAATAATGAATATCATTTATACAGCTTGGCAACAAGAATGTCTCAATTTAGAAGCGATAAAAAAAAGAAAGAATTTAATTTATTCCCTCCCAACAAGTGGGGGAAAAACTTTAGTTGCTGAAATTTTAATGCTGAGAGAAATTGTCCGCAATAAGAAAAATGTTATATTTATTCTTCCCTACGTTGCTATAGTTCAAGAGAAGGTAATTTCTCAAAATAAAAAAAAAATTATTTTATTTAAAAATTTTTTTATGATTTTAATATTAAATTACTGTTTTTTTCATTAAATGATTTTTTTTTTTTTAATCAAATTTAGGTTCAGGCAATGGCACCATTTGCAATTGATATGGGTTTTTTGGTTGAAGAATACGCAGGTGGAAAAGGAGAATATCCTATTAAAAAACGTAGACATAAGAATAGTATTTTTATATGTACAATAGAAAAAGCTTTAGGTGTTGTTAATTTTTTAATTGAAGAAAATCGTTTCGATGAGGTAAATAATTTTTACTTGATTTTATTTTGTTTTTTGCTTTTATATTTCATTGTAGAAACATTTTTTTTCCTTTTCTCTTTAAAAATTGTTTCGCAATTTTTTTTTTTTTTTTTAAATAATTTTTTTCTTTAAATTATTTTAGATATTTTGAAATTTATTTTTTTTATAAAATAATTGTTTTAGATTTCAAAAAAAAAAAAAAATGTTTTCTATTTTTAAAAATTTCTTCTATGTTTTTAATTTATTTTTTATTCTACTTTCTATTTATTTTCTCATTTTTAGTTAATTATTAATAAAAAAATTAGAATTGTTTCTCAAATAATTTTTTAATTTTTCATTTATGGAAAATGTTTTTATTAGATTGGAACTGTCGTTGTTGATGAATTACATTTACTTGGTGAAGGTGGAGGCAGAGGTGCAACATTAGAGGGTTTATTAACAAAAATTATGTTTGTTAATGGTAATTTTAATAATTTATAATTTATTTATTAATTGATAAAACTGAAAGTTTTTATTTAATTAAAACTATTTCAAGTTATTTAATTTAATATTATTATCAGTTATTACTTTTTTTATTATTATTTTTATAGTTTTATAATTAATTTAAAATTCATAATTAATATTAATATAAATTTTCAATTAAAGTTAATAATATTTCTAATTAAAATGTATTTGTACCTATAATAACTATTAAATTTTCCTCTTTGTATTAAGAAAATATTCACATTATTGGAATGAGTGCAACGATTGGAAATTCAGAGGAAGTAGCAAAATTTTTAAACGCTGATTTATATGAAGATAATTTTCGACCTGTAAAAATTCAAGAATATGTGAAATGTAATTCAGAAATATGTAAAATTGATAAGAAAACAGAGGAAATTTTCATTGACAAAGAAGTTAAAAACTATCCAGTAAGTTTAAATTAATTTATTTTCTTTTATTTATTAATTTTATGATTCAATTTATTTTATTTCTAATTAAATTTACTATTCAATGAATAAAGTAATTAATTTATTTCATTGTAATAGTTCAAAAAAAAATCTACTAAACAAAAATTCGTTTCTTTCTCTTTTTTACAAATTCGATTTTTTTTTTTGTATAAAAAATTTTCCTTTACAGTATTATACACGTGAGGCATTGACAATTGATCCCGATTGTCTCGGTGGTTTAGTTATGGAAATAGTGCCAAAAGATTCATGTTTAATATTTTGTTCAAATCGTAAGAGTTGTGAAAATGTTGCAAAATTATTGACAAAAGTTTTGTTCAGGTACAATTATTATTTTTAATTATCTAAACTTGTCTTTTTCTTTTTATAATAAAAAAAAATTAAAAACTAAAAAAAAACAAAATGTAAATTAATTTTTAAAGTTTAAAAAATTGCACAAAAAAAAATTTTGAATTTAATAAAAATAAAAATTTATTTAAAAATAGAAATTTTTGGAAAATCTTTTAATTTATTGATAAAATGAAATTAAAGAAGGATAAATAATTTGAATTTAAAATATTATAGAAATTTGCTAGAACATAATAAGGAGTCGAAAATATATTTAGAATCCTCTTTGACAAATGAGGGAACACTTTGTCCAATTTTAAGAAGAACAATAAAATATGGAATTGCTTATCATCATTCGGGTCTCACTGCAGAGGAGAGAAAATTAATTGAAGATGCATTTAAAGATGGAACATTGTGCGTTATTTGTTGTACTTCAACATTAGCAGCTGGAGTCAATTTACCAGCAAGAAGAGTTTGTTTTGTTTTTATTTCAATTTTTTAAATTTCTCCCTTTTTCGAATTGAAATATTTTCTTTTTCTAGTATTCAACTTTTTTTTTTTTTTTTTTAATAAACGGAAAGTAATCATTAATAAATTTCTAAATAAATAAATAATTACTATTAAATGAAAATAATAATAATTCATAATTTCAGGTATTATTAAGATCTCCTTACATTGGAACGGAATTTTTAAACACAAGTCGATATAAACAAATGATTGGCAGAGCTGGACGCGCCGGAATGAATGAAATTGGAGAAAGTATTTTGATTTGTAAACCGGAAGATATTCCAAGGGTAATAAACAAAAAAAAAATTTTTTTCTTTTATATAACAGAACAATAATGTAGAATTTTATTTTTTCTTACAAGTTTTTTAAAAAAAAATATCAAAGGATACAATTTTAAAAATGAGATTTTAATCTTTAAATTGACAAAAAAAAATTTATTTCTCAGTAATTTTTGGCAATTTTCAAAAATTTAATTTAAAAAATCAGATTTAAAATCGAAATTTTTTTAAAGTTACTTTTCTTTAGCTCTGTTTTTTTTTTGTTATTTACAGATAAGAACACTAGTGACGGCAAAAATAGACGATGTTTTAAGTTCACTTCACACTGAACAAGATCGTGGTCTCAATAATTTAATATTGAGTTCTGTATTATTAAATATAGCAAAAACAAAAGCCAAATTAAAATTGTTAATTAACAGAACACTAATGAAATTACAAGAGGCACGATTATCCATTAATGTTGAGGAAATAATGGATAATGCAATATTTGCACTTTTAGAGAAAGGAATTTTAATTGTCATCAATGATAATGGAATAAATTCAAATTTAATGGAAAATAAAGTAATTTCCGATGTAACGGAGTTTGATTTAAGTCATTTGGGTAGAGCTGCGATGAAAGGTATTTTTTTTTTTTTTTTAGTTATCATTTTTCATTTTTAAATTGTTTAAAATTTACAAAATACATTTTGTTTCAAAAATTACGTTCATTCAATGGTTTTAATAAAAGTAAAAAATTAAAAATTTTATAAAAATTATATAAAAATTTTTGTAAAATTTATTTATTTAATCACAATGCAAAAATTATGAATTTTATTTTTAGCGTGTATCGATTTACCAGTTGCATACGATTTATATGAGGATTTAAAAGAAGCTCAAAGTCATATTATTCTTAATGATATTCTTCATCTTTTGTATTTAGTCACACCTTATGATTTAACGAAAATTATTCATCCTTCAGGATCAATTTATTCCGAAGTGGTAAAAGATAATAATAAATAAATACTTTTATTATGATAATTCCCGTGTGGAAAAAGCCACGATCTTGCCCTCAAGAGTTCGGGGCCCCCGGCGGGGGCCCATGAGGGCTGATCCATATGGCGAATCCATGAGGGGCACCGTAGGGGCCCCGCATGGATCGCCCTCATGATCGATTAGCAAAATTTTCTAAGTCCAAAAATCAAATATTTTTTTATCACCAAAAAATTAATGTTTATAATGATTCAGAACCACGAAAAACGCGTTTTTAATAAAAATATATTTACACTTTTTTGAAAATAACACTCACACTTATGGCAAAATAGATGAGGGCCACCGTAGGGGCCCGCATGGATCGCCCTCATGATCGATTAGCAAAATTTTCTAAGTCCAAAAATCAAATATTTTTTTATCAACAAAAAATGAATGTTTCCAATGATTCAAAACAACGAATAACGCGTTTTTAATAAAAATATATTTACACTTTTTTGAAAATTCGCCTGAGATGATTCATGATAATAATCATAAAGCATATAATTAATTATATTTTATAAATTGCATTTGATTGGAAAATATAATTTAATATCTTAACTTTAACTAAATGATGTTAAGCACTTTTCTTTGTTAGGTATTTTTGAAGTTTAAATAGCATCAAGAAGTTAGCATTCGTTTTGAAGTAGCGTACGTAGCGTAGTTGGTAAAGCGTTAGACTCATAGTCCGTAGGTCGTAGGTTCGATTCCCCCCATGCGTTAGATTTATTTATTTCTCAGGTTTGCGTTTAATCATTAATTCTATGTATGAATTAATTGAAAAATGAAAATATCCGTTAATAGTATGCATAAATTAAATATTTTTTAATTTTTTAATTAATTAATTTATTATTACTTTTAATTATATCCGACAGTTAATTAATTAGAACGTTAATTAATAAATTCAATTTGAGTAAGAATTTAATTTAAAATTGAATAATTATTAAATAAATATGTTATTTATTCATAACTTAAGCTTATTTATTATTAATTAACTTTTATTATTAATATTATTGATTAAAAAACATTATGGCAAACTTGAGGGCAAGATGAGGGCAAACGTGAGGGCCCATAAGGGCGCCCGTAGGGGCACCCTCATGGATCGCCCATGCGGGCGCCCTCATCGATGAGCATGTCGTTTCCATGAGGGGCCCCTATGGATCATCCATATGCGGCCCTCATGGCATGAGGGCGATCCATAAGGGCCCCCGCTGGGGGCCCACATCACTTTTCCACACGGGTTATTTATTATTAATATTAAAAGGTTTTCAATTTTTTTTTTATCGTTGCAAAAATTATTTATTTTTTTTTTACAATTATAATTTTTAATTTTCTATTTACTTAGATTTTTTTGTATTTAAAGGCTTTTTCCCTTTTTAGTTATTGAAATAAATTTAAATTATTTTACTTTATAGGTAATGAAATTAGATAAAGTTCAAATGAATATCGCAAGACGAATCGGAATTTCAGAGGCGAGCATTTGTAAATTAATGTCTGGATTATTACCCAAGGTAATGTAAAACTAATTTATCAATGTGATTTTAATCATTGCAGCGCTGAATAATAATTGTATTTTTTTTTTAAAATAATTTAGGACGTTCCTGAGAGAATTATTAAAAGATTTTATATAACTCTAATGTTACAAGAATTATGGCAGCAAAAATCAGTTTTTTACGTTGCTGAGAAATATCAAGTGAATCGTGGAACAATTCAATTTCTCCTAAATTCGGCAGCTAATTTTGCATCGTCCGTCGTTCGATTTTGTGATGTTTGTATAATTTTATTTTTTTTTCTGTACAGTTTTTTTTTTTTTTATTTTACTATAAATTGTATTTTTTTTTTTTTTTATTTAGAGTTTACCTGAATTTTGGGCAATAAAAGATTTAGTAATGACGTTTGGCAAAAAACTTGAGTATTGTTGTCCTGAAGAATTGGAACCTTTAATGCAACTGCCTTATGTTCAAGTGGTGAGTCAAATTTTAATTGTAATAAATAATTTATTATTAAGATTTATAATTTACAAAAAAAAACCAACTTTCATTAAATAATTAAATTAATTTGAAAATTACAATAATTAACTCTTGTTATTAAATTTAAATTTCCATTTTTCGTTTTAAGTTTTACTTTTAATTTTTATTTTAATTTTTAGTTTTAAATTTCAATTTTTCGTTTTAATTTTAATTTTAAATTTAAATAATTTTTGTGTTTGTTTTAATTTTTATTTGTAAGTTTTGGTTTTAATTTGTAATTTTAAAGTTTTAATTTTCAGCTTCAGTTTTAGTTTCAATTTTTTTCAATTTTCAGGTACGAGCTCGTCAATTTTATAAAGCGGGCTACAAAACAATAACATCAATTGCAAATGCAACGCCCCAAGAGCTCATAAATAATATCAAACATTTGCCGAAACAAACGGCATTTCAAATAATTGCCGCCGCCAACGTAAATGTCCTTAATGATAAAAAGTTACTATTTTTTCACTTAATTGGAAATGAAATTTAAATATTTATTCACTTATTTATTTATTATTTTTTTATTTATTTCTTCTTTTTTTATTATTTAGACAATGACTTTTTCTTTAATAATTATTTTATTTTTCAGCTCTTGATTGTTGAAATCATTGAAAGTTGTCGAGATAAAGCCGCAGAAGCACAAGAAGGATTAATTCCCAGAGCGGATCTTAGTTTTTTGCTCGATGATAGTTTTTAATTACATATTAGAAATAGTTAATTAAAAAAAAAAAAAATCTAACCCCAGGAATAGATTATTATTATTATTGTTACCAAAGACTGAATATTATTAATTAATGATAAAAGAAATTATTTTTTTTTTCAAAAATTATTTTCTTATATATTCATTGTAAATATCACTTGTTAATGAATATCACAGGAAAATAAAAAAAAAAATTTATAGAATTACAATTCAATTTATTTCTTTCATTTTCTGTAAATTTTCAATTTTTTTCGTACAAAATAAAAAAAATAGAATAAAAAATCAGTTATCAAAGTGAAAAAAAAATATATATATATATAAATGAAGTGAAAAATATTTTTTTGTCTACAAATAAAATTTTTTATGTAATTTAAATAATTTTTTAAATCAATGAAAAAAAACGTGTTTTTCAGAGCAATTTGTGTTGAGATTGACAAATTGTTTAAGCAAACACGAAGATTAATTGCCGCATATTTTCATTTTGATGTTAATTTACAAAATATTGATGATATCAAAATGATTTGTGGAACAAAAAATGTTTCTTTTAATTTTTTAAATTTCTAGGTATATGTAAATAAATAAATAAAAAAATTCCCATAAATTTAGTAAATTTTTTTATTTACTATTTAGTTAACAATTTCTCTTATTATTTACAATTTTTCTATCAATATCCATTTTTCATTTTATTTATTTATATATTTTTTTATTGTATTTTCTTAAATGTAAAAGTAGATTTAGTTTCGTAAAACTAAAAGTATTTCTCTTTTTATTCCTAAATAAATTATCGATTTATTTAAGAAAATTATCAAATTCTAAAAATAAAAAACATCGATTTTTGCATTAAAACGAAAATTTTTCGGTTGACTGTAAAAAAAAGAGAAAAACTAAGTAAATTCACATGTCATTTTAGCCTATATTTCTATCTTCTTTTGTATAAACAGGGTTTGAGTTCAATAGCGGGAAGTTTCTTTTTTCCATTTTCAATATCTTTTTCTTTTTTAAAGTCCAAAAAATAGAAGAGATCATTTGAAATATCCGCCCAAGTATTGACAAATCCATAGCTAGTGACTAATTTGATGAAATCCTCGATATTTTCAAATCTACTTTCTACTTCGGCGATTTTCATTATTCCCCTGAAACAATTTTTTTTTTTAACTTTTATTTATTTATCAGAACTGTAAATTCTCTAAATTTTGAAGAAAGATATTAAATTTTTGAATTAAATTTATTTTACTTTATTTATATTTTAATAGCATTTTAGTAATTTTTAGTAAATTTATTTTAAAATTTACACTTGTATTTAATTAATTTTTACAATTAAAATATTTTTTATTTATTCCTTAAAAAAATATGAAAATTTTAATTCGCTTTATCTTCGAAAATAGCTTCGGGATCAATGTGAAATTTTTAGTGTATGTAAATATTTAGTGTCAACATTTGTGATGATTATCCAAATATACATTCACAACTCGATTGTCAAATAAACTGACTGTACTCGAAAGAGATTTGAAATTATTAAATTTCAAAAAATTTTAGAAACAATTAAATTTTTAGAAGTTTTTAAATCGAAATTTTTGAAAATAAAATTGAATTTATTAAAAATCACATTAAAAAATTGAATTTCAAAAGTTTTTAATTGGAAAATGCTTTCAGATAATTGAATTTTCGAAGAATATTATAAAAATCATTCAAATTAATTGAAACTAGCAATATTAAACGCGCGCAAGCGCGCCAAATTGAGTATTTAATTGTTTGTTATAAAGAAATTAAAGATTAATATTATCAATAATAATTTAAATTTATTAGAATATTATTTCATATTAAATGATAATAATGAAAATTATTATTATATGTTATTAAATTATATATAAAATTGAATTATTTTCCAAATTTTCAATTTAAAATTTAATTATTTACCAAGTTTTCAATTTAAAATTAAATAAAATTCAAATATTACCCGAAATTTTAATTCAACATCAACTTAAATTAAATTATTATCCAAAATTTCAATTAAAATTCAATTATTTTCCAAAATTTCGAGTCAAAATTAATTATTATCAAAATTTTCAATCAAGAATCAACTAAAATTAATTATTATAAAAATTTTCAATCAACTAAGATTAAATTATTTTCAAAATTTTCAATTTAAAATTCAATTAATTACCAAGTTTTCAATTTAAAATGAAATAAAATAAAATTATTTTTTAAAATTTTTATTCAAAATTAATTATCGAAATTTTCAATTAAAAATGAACTTAAATTAAATTATTATCGAAAATTTCAATTAAAATTCAATTATTACCCGAAATTTTAATTCAACATCAACTTAAATTAAATTATTATCCAAAATTTCAATTAAAATTTAATTATTTTCCAAAATTTCGAGTCAAAATTAATTATCAAAATTTTCAATCAAGAATCAACTAAAATTAATTATTTTCAAATTTTCAATCAACAATCAACTAAAATTAAATTATTTTCAATTTTAAATGCAATTATTTACCAAGTTTTCAATTTAAAATAAAATAAAATTCAATTATTTTTTAAAATTTCGATTCAAAATTAATTATCGAAACAATGCCAAAAAAACATTGAAAAATTTTATCCAACACAAAATAATGTCAAACAATACATTTAAAAAAAACGAAAGACCTATAACAAATACTAACTTCAGGTGTGGACAGAATGAACGAAAGATATTCACGATTATTATATGTAATTTTTGAAAAAATAATTAAAATTCAAGTGATTTTGAATTAAAAATTTTTGGTATAATTTTATTTGCTAATTTTTTTGAAAATTATAAATAATTATTAAATTTCATAAAAATTTTAATTGAAAAATAGTTTGAGATAATTGAATTTTGTGAAGAATTTCATTAAAAATTATTAAAAAATAATTAATTTAGTGAAGAATTTTAGTTAAAAATTTGTTAAATAATTGAAATAAAGAAGATCTAAAGAAGATCTGCATTGTATACTAAAAAAAACCGTATTTCGTTTAAAAATTTTTTGAATAATTTTAAATAATTTTAAATATAAATTTATTACCATTGAAATACAATTTCAAACTTACTCGCCCTCTTTTATTAAAAAAAAAAGAAAAACCTTTTAAAAAAGAATTTAATTATTAAATTATTTATTTATACTGAAATTTTATTTTTCTGAAAGAATTAAAATTTTTAAAAATTCATAAATGTAGAGAATGTAACATACCCTTTTTTGAGAACTCGATTTGCCTCAAATAAATAATCATTGAGATTCGTTCCCATAAGAGATAAACAAAAAACAACGATATTTACACCGCTTTTTAAAAGTGGCGTGTGCGCCATATCACAAACCGTTACTTTTTCATTCAAAGCAACAAAATCAAATGAATGCACCTTTTGAGAAACTGATTCCGCAATTTTTGCTTCACCACATCCAAAATCGGCTACAATATAATCCTTTGGCCTAAAAAAAAGCCAATTGTTATTTTTTATAAAAAAAACTTAAATATTTCAATTTAGCATTTTTCACTAATTTTTTTTTTGAAACTCAATTTTATAATAATCAAAAAAAAAAAATTAATAAAATACATTTTTCTCAATAAGCAAAAATCTATTTTAATTTGCTAATTAGATTTATTTTTAATCTTTAATTATTAAAAAAAGAAAATAATTAATAAAATAGATTTTTGTTTATTAATTGACAATAATTGAGTTTATTAATTTTTTTCTCTTCTTAAAAATAGAAAAAAAAAAATTTATTTACATTTTTTTAATCGATTCAATAATAATATCAACAGGATTTAATGGCCAATTATCAACTTGTTGTTGAAATCCTTCATGATAAGCATTAAAAGCATCAGGATCGTCTTTAAAATATTTTTTTGACTCAAAACTTGCATTATTGTATAAAGTTTCATTAATAAAACGAAATCTCGACGATCGAAGTTGTGCCATCATTCTTTCTCTTAACGATAGTGATTTGTCCCATTTACGTTTTTTCTTCTCTTTTTGTTTATCCTCTAACATTCCTTTTAATCTATTAACATTTATCTTTTCATTTAATTGATTTTTTCCGCTCTATAATCAAAAAGCAAAAAAAAAATTCATTTTGAAAATATTCTTTAAAAACACTTTTAATATTTTCTTTATTAAGTAATTAATTAATTAATTATTAAAATTGTTTTATTATGATTATTATTAGCCCGTTTACATGTAAATAAATAAATTATTATTTTTATATTTTATTGATAAAATTTTATATAAAGTAGAAATATAAATAAAAAAATGAAATAAAAATTTTAATTTTATAATTTTGAATTAATTAATGTTTTCGAGAAAAAAAACTTACTTTTAAATTTTCTTCTTTTGTTTTAAGAACTACTAAATTACGACCAATTACCGAGAAATTAGAATTATTATCTTTCAACTTTTTTCGTCTCTTTGATTCAATTATTTCTTCAAAATCTTCAAATTTTGATCGTTTTCTATTATCTATTTCTATATTCGATGTAATTTGTGTCCTTTTTTTCTCCTTTTTCCCCAATTTTGTAGAAATCGTTAATTTTTCCTGTTGCTGTAAATTTTCACCTAATTTTTCTGTTTGTAAATTTTTTTCCCTTTTAATAAATTTCTTTTGTTTCTTTTTAATTTTCATCGTTTGTTTTTTATTATTTTGATTTTGTAAATTTTTTTTTTTTTCTAAAACTGGTCCCTTTATTCCAAGAAATGTTAATTTTTTTGTCATTATTGGCAATGTTTCATGTGAAATTTTCGATGATAATAATTGTTTTTTCATTATTTTATTTACATTTGCTGTGGGTGGATTTTGTTTATTTTGTTGTAATTTTTTTTTATTTTTTTGCATTAATTTTTCATTTTTTGGAGAATTTGTCATTTTAATTGGAGAATTATTTTTAATGGTTAAATCAAATTTCTTTTTCTTTGATTTCAAGATATTTCCTTTTTCTTTGTCTTGAAATTTTTTTCGTTTCTGTAAAAAAAAAAAAAATTCTCTAAATTTAGAAAATTACGCGTTTTTTCAATTTTTTAATTAACTTAAAATTATTTTTTATATTTTAATTATAAAATTTATATAATTTTTGAAACTTAGAATTGAAAAAAAAAATTTATCAAACTAAACTTTTTTTTAAATATCAAAACTGCGATAAAGATCTTATTAAATTTATTTTTAATTATTTATTTTTTATTAAAACAAAAAAATGTTAAAATATTATAAAAAAAAAAATTGCTTTTATTGTAATTTTTGTATATAATTTCGGAAAAATTGTAAACATAACCTATAAAGATATACATATAACGTGCATATAACTAAATAAAACAAGTATTTTTTTTTGCATTTTGAATCAATAAATTAATAAAAATTTATACTAAAAATGGAAAAAAATCAGATATTAGACAAGAATTAATATTCTTGGTGTAAAACTGATTTTCTTGCGAGAGAAATACAGGAAAACTTAACCTCAAAATAAGAAATCTATTTCGATTTAAGTAAATCTTTTTATAAAGTATTGATTTAATTAACAAATTAAAATAAAAAAAAATTGTATAACTAAAATATAAATTGTATAAATATTTTTAATAAAAAACATAAAAAATATAATAAAAACGATAAAAAACTATCTTTGAATGAAAAAAAAAACACTTCAAACCTGAGAATGTTTCTTTTTATTCCTCTCCTTATTTCCTCCATCGCCCCAAGAACTTAATTCAAAAAGTCCCATAATTATAATATTATTTTAATTAATATAACAAAATTCTACTTTTCAAATTTTTGTTTTTGACATGAAAATCACGTTTTTTTTTTATTTATTGACTTTATTCTGCTTTGCTATTGGGCCACGTTCTAAAAAATATTTCTAAAAATGCGCCTCAAATCAAGGTAGAATTTCAATTGGCTGTGAAAAATTTGTCCAACATTGTGATTCGTTGAAATGTTGTGGAAATTGTGGAAAAAAATCACTCATTGTAAATGTGACTTGTTAAAAGTGCTCAAGGCGGTTGCCTTGGTGTCCGGAACAACGGCAAATGCCTTTTCACGTAAACAAACTTATTTTAAACATTTTTTCATCGTGAATTTATGTTAAAATTAACAAAAAAATCGCCACAATGACATCTCTAGATTTAAGACAACAAAAATTAGAACAACAGGTGAGAAAATTTTTTTTTTATTTATAGTGCCGCGTTTTTTTTTTCTTTTTAATTGAGCGACATTTCTCGCATTATTCAATTATAGTTTTTTTTTTAAATTTATTTATTTAAAAAAAATGTATTTTTTGATTAATAATAGATAATATTTTCCTTTTTTAAATTTATAATTTTATGGGAGAAATATAAATTCTTGTTTATTGAAAATTTACTTGTAAATAAATAATTTTTTTAAATTATGTTTCGAAATTTTTTTTTTTTTTGTAATGATAACAAATTTTGCATTAGTTGGATATAAAGGTTAATAAATTTCTGAATATTATGAATTTGATGACTTCAATGTCAAAAGGGGTGAACAAATTGATGACAATTGGTGAAAAATAGGTCAGTAATTTTTTCATTATTTACTGTTGTACGATACAATATCATTTTTTTTTATGAGCAATTTTAACGATTGAATTATAAGAATGTAAATGTTTATGTATTTATAAATTTAATTTAAATTATTGAGAATTTATTTTTCAAATTTCGAAATATTTTTAATATTTTTTTTTTTATTATTTATATAATAATTTTTTTTTTACAATTGTTAACTATTTCTAATTATTTATGCAATTTTTTTTTGTCAAAAATCAAGGAATATTTTTTATAATTATAAAAAAACATTTTTCAACTTATTTTTAAAATTTGCGGATTTTTTTTTCAATAATTATACACATCATTTATTAATATTTATATGAATTTATTATTCCAACAATTGTAGAATATTTTTAATATTTACGAATTTTTTTGGGGAAAAAAATGTTTTTAAAAATATTTTTTTTAATATATATTTAAAATTTTTAAATTTTAATTGAAAATTTCTTTTTATTTTATTTAATATTTTTCAAATAGGTTCTAATTATTTATGTAATTTTTGTTAACAATCAATGAATATTTTTAATATTAATTGTATGAATTAAAAAATAAAAATAATTTTTAATTGCCAATTATTTCTAATTATTTATATAAATTTTGTTAACAAAATCAACGAATATTTTTCATAATTTATAAAAAAAACATATTTTTTAAATTTAAACGTTTAATATTTTTACGAAGCTAAAGTAGGCAACGTTTATGTTAAACGATTTTTAAAGAAATAATTTTTTAAAATTACAAAATTTTATAATTTTTTTACTTAAAAAATATTTTTTTATAATTTGTTGATTAATGAAAAAAAATTAAAAGAAATATTTTTTAGACAAAGGATTAGAGAATTTTTTATTTTAAAAAATTATTTCTTTAAAAAGTCGTTTATCATAAACGTTGCTGCATACTTCAGTTTTGTATATTTTTTAAATTCATAGATTTTTTTTTCAACAATTGTGAAATATTTTTTTAATATTTCTAATTTTATTTTTCAACAACAATTGTAGAATATTTTTTCAACAATCATCGAGAATAATTTTAATAACATTTTTTTTTGTTATCTGTTTTATTTAAAAGTACAATTTATCAATTATTGGCTATTTACTAAATTAAAATCTTTTTTTTCTAATTTTTTCTAATAATAATAATAATAATAATAATAATAATAATAATAATAATAATTAGTATTATTGTAAAATGATTATTATTAATAATTATTATTATCGTTTTATGGTTATTTATTATTATTATTATTATTATTAATTGTAAGTATTTAATAATTAAATTTAAATTCAAATCAAAATAATTTATAATTCCAGAGAATTGTAAAATAATTTAAAATAAAATCTGTTATTTATTAATAATTTCAGCGGCAATTAATTGCCCAGAAAATGAAGCAAAAAAGACAAACCGGTGCCAGTGGAATGGTTCAAGCTTCTAATTTATCAGCAACACAACTCACGAGTCACTCAACAAAATGGTTAAATCCAAACAAGGAACTTCACGGTAAAAAAATAATTTAAAAAAAAAAAACACTAAAAAAAATTATTTATTTTATAAATATATAATATAAATAACATAATTTATTATTTTTAATTTATTATAATTATCTGCATCTAAAATTGTTACAATTTATTTTTTAAAAAATCTTTTAATTATAATTATAATTTATCATCGGGGTAATTTTGAAAATAAAAACAAAAAACAATTTTTCTATTTTTTTCTGCTCCAAAAAAAAACCAAACTTAAAAAAATTTTTTTGTATATATTTTTGAGTTTTACAATTACACAGTTTTCAATTAAATTGAATAATTGAATTTATTTATAATAAAAATTAATCGTCAAAAAAGTAGTAGGTATTATTATTATTATTATTATTTTGTTCGTAATTTTAGGATACGATGGACCCTTACAATTTACAATGTCACCGGGAAATCCTGACATTGGTTTATTGCCTGAAAATAAAACTATGGAGACTGATTTAACTGGTAATTATTATCAAAATTATATAATTTATATAAAAATATAATATAAATTGTTTTTATTATTTTTCTAGATATAACCACGGATGGAACATTTTACGATGGAGCTGATGAAGAATCATCACCCGTTGATTTACAAACTCATCCCGAATCATTTCCATCACAATCGCCTTTAAGAGTTGCGCCCTCAGATGCGCCAACTGTTGTTATTAACAGAGATAATCTTACATCGGTAAGTGAAGAAAAAAAAAAAATTCTCTTTCCTTTTAAATTGTTAATTTTCAAAATATTAATTTAATCATTTCTATTTAAAATTTCAAAAGAAATTTACACGTATATTTACCGACATTTTTTTCAAAAATACGACTTTTTTTGGACTTATTTTAATAAAATGCGACTATTTCGACTTTTTTTAAAAATTCTTTAAAAAATATATTTTTTTTTTTAGTAAAAAATGCAGATCTTCTTCAGATCTTCTTTATTTCAATTATTTAACTAAAATTCTTCACTAAATGAATTATTTTTAATAATTTTAATGAAATTCATTACAAATTCAATTATTTCAAATTATTTTCCATTTAAAATTTTTTATGTAATTTAACAATTGTTTATAATTTTTAAAAAATATTAAATAAAATTACCAAAAAAATTTTAAATTCAAAATCAGAAATCAAATTAAAATTCAATTATTTTCAAAAATTTCAATTCAAAATCAAAGAATATTCAATTATTTTCAAAATTTTCAATTCAAAATCTTTTAAAATTCAATTATATTTCCAAATTTTTAATTTCAAATCAAATAAAATTCAATTATTACCCAAAATTTCAATTCAAAATCAATTAAATTTCAATTACTATCCAAAATTTCAATTCGAAATTAATTATTATCAAAATTTTTAATAAAAAATCAACTAAAATTCAATTATTCTCAAAAATTTCAATTCAAAATTATTTATTAACAAAATTTTTAATCAAAAATCAACTATAATTGAATTATTATTCAAAATTTCAATTATAATTACAATTATTTTCAAAAATTTGAATTTAAAAGCTTCTAAAATTTAATTATTTATAAAATTTTCCATCGAAAATTTTTTGAAATTACGGAAATTCAGTTTTTTTAAATGATTTTTATAATATTCTTCGAAAATTCAACTATCTGAAACCATTTTTCAATTAAAAATGGTTTTCAAATTATTGTATTTTTGTCCGCAATTTCTAATAAATTTTTTTAGTGAAATCATAAAAAAAAAATTTAATTAAAAATCACTTGAAGTTCAATTAATTTCAAAAATCTGAATTGTAAATCTTTGGAAATTCAATTAACATTTAAAAAATGTTATCTCAAATTATTTGATAAATTATTTTTAGTTCTGTAAAATTTAATTATTGTCTGAAAATTAACAAAATCTTTTGAAATTTAATTATTTCTAAAAAATTTCAACTATAACCCTTCCAAAAGTATTATTATTATTTAAAAATCTGTAAAATATTTTTGTTAAAATAAAAATAAACGAATTTTTTTTTGGAATATCAATCGACTAAAACGACTTTTTTTTTGTGCCTTTAAGTCGATCCGAGGCTTGTAATTAAAATTTTTATAAGATGTTAAATAATAATTTCAGAGTCCAGAAGCTGAGGGAAACGTCGAAGGAAATATCGAGCAATTTGTTCTTCAACCGGCGAACAAAAAAATGCATTACAAATGTCGAATTACTCGCGATCGTAAAGGCATGGATCGAGGATTTTATCCAACTTACTTTTTACATTTGGAGCGCGATTATGGAAAAAAGGTAAAAAAAAAAAGAAAAAAGAAAAAATGAAAATTAATATTCGATTGGTAAAGAAAATTTTAGAAATATTGTTGTTCAATTTTTAAAATATCAATTTTTTAATCTAATTTCTAAAAAAGGAAATTATTTTTAAAACAGTTTTTAATGATTAACAAAAAAAAAAAAAAATTTCAATTTCATTTAACTAAATTTTTTATCAACATTAATTTGTTCTTTATTTATCAGATTTTTTTTTTGCAAAATATATGAAAATTTTGGAACAAATAAAAAAATAAAAAATATATTTTGATTGATATAGTTTTTGAATATAATAGTTTGAAAAAATAAAAAAAAATTTTACACTTTAGGTATTTTTATTAGCGGGCCGTAAACGAAAAAGAAGTAAGACAAGTAATTATTTAATATCAACGGATCCAACGGATCTTTCGCGAGGTGGCGAAGCGTACATTGGAAAATTGCGCTCAAATCTTTTAGGCACACAATTCACCGTTTATGATAATGGATATTCTTTGATGAAGGACGATAAACACGAGGGACGTTCAAATCCACGTCAAGAATTGGCAGCAGTTGTTTACGATACAAATGTATTGGGTTTTAAGGGTCCAAGAAAAATGACTGTCATCATTCCTGGCATGACGCCCGATCAAAAGAGAATTCAAATTTGCCCACAGGAAGATTCGGAAACTTTACTTGGTATTTATATTTCAATTAATTTTCTATAAAAATATGAATATTTTATTTATTAGGAATTTTTTTTTTTCTTTTTATTTTAAACAAGTAAACGGACTTGTAAAAATAAAAATAGCATTTCGTACTAAAAAGTACTAACAAATAATATTTGTTAATAAAAATAACGTAATTTATGATACGTCGAAATAAATATAATTTTATTCTTATAAAACTGTTAATTTTACAGAATGCTTTAAAATGAAAAATATGGACAATTTAATTGAACTTCATAATAAAACTCCCGTTTGGAATGACGATACACAATCGTATGTTCTTAATTTTCATGGAAGAGTCACGCAAGCATCGGTGAAAAATTTTCAAGTTGTTCACGACACTGACGGTATGTATGTATATATATATATATTAATAATTTTCTTTTTTTCACTCGATTCAAATTTTAATTTTGCCGAAATTTTTATTTAAATTTCAAATCAAACATCAATTTTCTTTTTTATTGCAATTTTAATTTTTATTAGTAAAAAAAACAAATTTATTAGAATTAAAATTTTAATTAATTGCAAATTCAATCGATTGAAACTTCAAATTCACAGAATTTCAATCGATTTTATTTTTTTAATTAATTTAAATTTCAAATTATCCGAATTTTCAGTTTATTCAAATTTTAATTGATTTAAGTTTCAAACTACTCGAATTTGAATTAATTTAAATTTTAATTTAGTTTTATTTTAATTTATTTAAATTGATATAATTTCCAATTTTTAATTGATTATTGTTTCAAATTATGCAAATTTGAAATAATAAAAAATTTATATTCATTTAAGTTTCAAATTATACGAATTTCAATTTGACAAAATTTTAATTATCCAAATTTGAATTAATTAATATTCAAATTATCTTAATTTCATTTTATCCAAAATTTTAATTAATTTTAAGTTTCAAATGATCAAAATATCAATCTCTCTCTCTCTAAAAATTTTGTAATATAAGTTTTAAATTATTTGAATTTTAATTTATTTATATTTTAAATTATCCGAATTAAAATTTATATCCAAATATTGATTTTTATTGCAGTTTCAAATTATTTGAATTTTGATTTATTATGAAAAAAATGAAGATTTTTAATAGAAAAAAAAAACAAAAATATTAATTTTCCTTTACAGTGGATTATGTCGTGATGCAATTTGGTCGAGTGGCCGAAGATGTTTTCACAATGGACTACAGATTTCCTTTGTGTGCACTTCAAGCATTCGCCATTGCGCTCAGCAGTTTTGACAGTAAATTAGCATGTGAATAATTATATTAATTATAATAATTATAATTATAACAATAATTATTACAATAACTATAATTATTATTATAAAAATTATAATTATTATAATGTGAATAATTAATTGATACAGAGAGGAAGAGAAAGAGAGAGAATGTGTCTGTGTGTGTCGAAATTTTTCATTTATCAAATCAGACAATCACAAAGTTTCAGGCCGTTTTAAAAAATCGGCTTCGATTTCATATTAAGACAAAAACTTGCCTTAATATTTTTTTTCTTTACAAAAGAATTGCATTAATAATTATAAATATAAGTAATATTATTATTATTATTATTAATAAAAAAAATAATAATAATAATAGTATCAATGTAAAGAAAAAATATGAAAAAAGAAAATAATGTAATTGAAGTTAAAAAGAAGAAGTCGATAAAATATTAACGACCCGAAGGGCAATATTTTTTGCCAATTGATAAAAAGGAGTCGTGCAATGAAATTATTTTTTTTTCTTTTTTTTTTAAAGTTGGAAAACGAAACACCAACTGACGAAAATAAGACTTTCGTTTAGATTCTTTAGATTTATAAATAAATATTTAAGGAGATAATATTTGTGTTCAGAGTCAGTTTTTAAGCGAAACCAAATACACACAATTGTCGTAACATTCAGTATTATCGCATCGATCAATTATTTCGAGGGGGAAAAAAAAAATCTCATTTTAGTTAATCGTTTTTTTTTTAACAATAAAAGAAATTCATCAAAGAGAGAAAAAATTCTATGAAAAAAATTGGCTTAACATATTTTTTTTTGAAAGAAAAATAAAAATTTTAATAAATATTAATCATTCATTTTTTTTTATAATTGAGAACAATTTTTTTTTCTACGATGACAATTTGTATATTTTTATTCTGTTTTAGGCTTTTATTAGAAAAATGAAATTTTTCGACTATAATCTAGTTTTTTTTTTTTCACTAACGCTACGTTTTATTATTATTCACTGATTATATTTTACACATACACAGTGATGGGATATCGATAATTATTTCCATAATTAATAACTAATATGAATATTATCAATTTATTAATTTTCAAATTTTATTTTTTAAATTTTGAAAAGTAAATGTATTCATATGAAACGAAAAAAAAAATACTTTTTAAATTGTAAATATTTTTTCAATAATTTTAATCGGTGCATTGTAATATAGACTTTAAATAAAAAAAAAAAAAAAAAAAAAACTATCATTTATAAAAATAAGAGGAAAGTGTAAAAAATTTATTAAATCGATTCAAATATTATTTTAATTATTTGAATCGTTAAATTAATAATTGATAACTATGTGAAAATAATAGAATAATTTTTCAGATTACAAATAATAATAATAATAATACGAAATAAAGTATAAATAAAATAATAATAGTAAATTGATTATGATTTATTTTCATAATTAATATTTTAATTTATTATAAATAAAAGTATTATGAATAAAAATTAATTCTTTTAATTTAGATATTTATTTTATAATCGATATCTCAATTTTTTAAGAGTTTTTTTTTTTGTAAACGACATTCCATCACTATTTTTAATATATTTTAATATACATGACATGCATTTATTATAATTTTAAGAAATATTAATAATTAGAAATATTTTTTAAAAAATCGACGCCGCATTTTTTTAATTTTTTTTTGAATTTTCTTTTGAGGAAAAAAAAATTCAATTTTTTTGAAAAGAAAGAAAAATGTTTCTATATATAAGAGAAAAGCAAATGTGTTCATGAAAATTACGAAAAAAACAATTACAGCTCAAAATAAATTGTATAGATTAAAATTCTGTTTATTTAGTTTTTTTTCAAGGTGTCGATTTTATTGTTGAGATTTTTAAATAGAAGTGTGAGTTTTTTTTTTTTAAATGACAAGAGAATAAGTTTCAAATGGAAATGGGGCTTATTTTATTATTTTTTTTTTTAAGAATATTTATGATCTAGTCTACTATGTTATTAACAATTATAATTATTTTATACATTTATTATAATTTATGTTCTAAGTTATATTATATTATAATATCATTCGTATGAAAAATAAACGCATTTCATTTAAATCACAATTTGTAATTTTTTATTTATTTAAATATTATAATAATCGAAGAAAAAATTAAAAATTTCAATGAAAACAATGAAAATAATAATTAAATCGCAGATTTTTTAAAAATATATTTTAAAATATAGTTGAAAAATATATAAAACTAGTTTGAATAATTTTAATAATTAAAACTAATTTTATTTTACAATAACAAATAAATATAGGAATTTAAAGAAGAGACAAAAGGCAAATAGAAATTAAAAAAGACAGTTTATTTTTTTTTTGTTTTTTTTTACAATAGCAAACACTTGGACAATTATTATGCACAAATTCTTAAAATCTATTTAATTGGAAGCCGTTTTTTCATTTCTTGAAAATAAAAAACAAAAAAAAAAAATTTATTTTATTTACATTCAAGGCACTTTCAACACGCAACAAATGTGTCACGACTACAAAATATAAACAATTTTCTTTTTTTTTTGTACAGTTATAAAATCAATTGAGAGAATTTTGTTTTGAAAAAAAATTTCTCTCGATCGATGAAAGGCAGTTTTTTTTTTTTTTTTTATTGAATTTTTGCACTGATTTTTCTTTTCTTTTTATTAAAAAGAAAAAAAAACCAACTTGTTTTGAAAATTCTGAAAAAAAATATAGAAATCATGAATAATTTTCAATTATCAATTGATTAGATTTATTATTAATAAATTAATCAATTTTAATAAAAATTACTTGATTCTAATAAAAATTATTTCAGTTCTAATAAAATTTAATTTAAATATCGAATAATTAATTTAAATTAATTATTTCTAATTATAAATTAACTATTTAATTCAATGTTTATTACAGTTTCGAATTAAAAAAAAAAGAGAAAAATTTACTAAACCTAAAAAATGTTAATTTCCTTTTTTTTTATTATTAATAACACCTTATATTTTTGAGGTAAAACACTGGAGCAGTGAAAATTGTACTGGTGATTAATTTTTTTTTTTTTTTTTTTCATTATCAATTTTCACATATTTAAGACAAGTTACATGATATGAATTATTTAACACAGCCAGTGATAGTCTGACGTATTTTTTTTTTTTTTTTTTCTTTTTACCAAGTGTCATTAGAAATATTTTTGTTTTTGGATTAAAACAATATCGCCTTAATGAATAAAATATATATTTTCATTAAGCTTTGTTAATTATTTGGTCAAAAATATAATAAAGAAGTTAATAAATATTAAACATAAATTAATGAAATTAAAAAAAAATATATATATATTTAACAACACACCTAAGGCGCTTCATTTCAAATTTTTTTTTTTTTTTCACGGAACCAATGACTAAAATTGTTCCTAATATTATTCAACTCCTGATAAATATTTTCAAATTAATATATATTTATAGAAAAAGTAAAAAAAAAAAACAATTAAATAAAAATTACGTTGGAGCTGAATTTCCGAAGCGCCGAATTATTTTTTTCGCAGTCTTTCTCTTTTTTTTCTATTAAAAAAAAAAAAAAAATATTTAAAAATCTATTAAAATATTATTCAGACATTTTTTTTACACATATAAAGCCAATCACTTGGCAATGATTTTTTCCTTTTCTTCTTCTTTTTTTTTACACATAAACTTGACTAACACTTTATTTAGAAATTCAGAAATTCATTGAATTTATACATTTTTTGTGAAGTTCACAATTTTTATGATCATTAACTAATTTTATTTATTTATTTATTATTATTTAATAATTATTTATTTATTACTATTTAAAAATTTATTTATTATTATTTAATTATTTATTTATTAGTTTTTTAATTCTTTATTTGTACTAAAAAAAAATATATATTTTTCTATGCAAATTATAATTTTTTGTTTTGGAAAAAAAAAAATTTCTAGGCAAAAAATTTTTGTTATTTTTTTCCGAAAAAATATTTTTGTACTTTCAATCATTGATCATAAACATTGTGATCTTCACCGACGTTTAATTTATTTGCAAGAAAAAAAAATACGTCTCACGAAAAATCTTTTTTTTAAGAAAATTCGAAAATTAAAAGAAATTAATTTTTATAAGAAATATTTTTTGTTAGATTCCAAAATATTGAAAGTAAATTATTATCATTATATACTCTTCCAGAATAAATTATTTAAATTATTATTATTATTATTTATTTAAATTATCATTATCATTATTATCAATTCGAGACTAAAAATAAATTCATTTCGAAAAATTGAAATAATTTCATGAAATTCAATTTTTAATCTCACGAAATTAATAATAATAATTGAGGAGAAATTTTTAAAAATCTGATAAATTCGTTTAGGAAAACTTTTTTTTAAACACAATCTTTTTTTATCAATAATATAATAAATTATACATGCTATGTTTGGGAAAAAACTTTTTTTAAAATAAATTTATTAGATTTTGAAAAAATGCGCTCCTCAAATTAATCGTGAGAAAAAATTTTTTTCCCTGCAAATAAATTAATTAAACTGATTAGTAATAATAAAAAAAAAAATTGAATATATAAATTTCATATCAAAATCACAACCATTCTCTATATATAAAAAAAAAAATAATAATAAAATCCTAAAAATATATCATTTCAACTTTCGAAAAGTCGAAAATAATTTTCCGAAAATGGGCTTTGAATTAAAAAAAAAAAAAAAAAATTATCCACGATTCTTAAAAGATATTTAGAAAAAAAAATGTTTCCATTTGCCGAAATATTTTTAGGAAAAATCGTAGTAAAATTTGAGCTTTGAATTTACCAAAAAAAAAAAAAAAAAAAAAAAAAAAAACTACGATATTCAGGAGAAAATTTTCTATTTGTCAAATTTTTTTTGTAATCAAAAATCGTAGAAAGATTTGAGCTTTGAATTTAAAAAAAAAAAAAAATTATCTACGATATTCAGGAGAAAATTTTCTATTTGCCGAAATGTTATCTTTTTTAATGAAAAATCGTAGAAAAATATATATACTTTTTTTTTTGGAATACGCCCTTAATTAGAAGAGAGACACAATAAAAAAAAAAGAGTAAATTCTGAGCATTTTTTTTTTTATCAGCCTTTCTTTGGATCTGGAATTCGAGAAAGTGGTCGAGTAAATTTTGGTGCTGGAATTCGTGATGTTGGTCTTGGAATTCCACTGGCAATGCTCGTTGGTCTTGTTGCATTGTAATTTGTCGGGGGCCTTAATTTTGGCTTTGTATCGACGGGACTTTTCGCTCGATTCGACGAAATCTGTGAATTTTTTTTTTTTATTTTTTACCATATAATTAATCGAAATTTCTAATTTAAAATTTACAAATACATTTATTTTTCAAATAAATATTTTAAAAAATTTTATTGTCAAAAAAAAATTTATTATATGTATTAAAATAATTCTTTTTGGACTCAAAACAATTTTTTTCTTTTATGTTTTATTTATATTATTTATAACATTTATAATTTTTATTTATTTTTTATATAACGTCCAAAAAAAAAAATTATTCCAATTTTTTCAACAATAAACTTTGTTAAAAGTGTGTTTTTTTCCGTTAGCTCTAAACAAGAAATAGCAATAACTAATAATAAAACAAAAAAATTAGAAATATATTTAAACAAATTATTAAAAAAATTAAGCATTTGGTTTTGTTTTAGTAAAATAATTTTTTTCAACAAAAAAACTTACGTTTGGCGGCTTTAATGTTAATTTCTCATTACTTTTTGACGGCTTTATCTCACGAACATTGTTTTTAACAATATCTGGAAAAAAATACAGAAACTCTATTTCTTCAATTTCACTAATTTTAAAAATTAAATATTAACCATTTTTTTTTTCGTAATAAATTATTAGACTCTTATTTGGACATCTCCTTAACAATTATTAGAAAAATTTTTTAATTTCAAAAAATTCGAAATATAACTTTTTTTTTTTTCTTTACTGAATTCTAGTGTAGTTACGTTGTAATTATTATAATAACTTTATTTTTTCACTATAGTACTACGTACGAAATGGATATTTTTATAATTTGTAATTCTGTGAATTTATGTAAATAAATAATAAATAATAATAATTTTTAAAATATTTACCAAGAGAATTAATATTTTCACTAGAACTACTGGGACTCAAAAGTGGAGAACTTGATTTGATATCATTAGGTGATAAAAGACCACTTTGTAGACCTTCGATATTATTTTTTAATATTGGCGATGGTAAATCTTTCTCTGACTGCATCCATGTATTTTCAAGAATTTGCCTATTTGGTTTTGGCGTCGATTCAGGCTTGTGACCTATTAAAAAAAAAATAAGGGGAGAAAATAATTTTAATTATTAAAATTATCTTCCAATTATTTAATAAAATATTTGAAATTATATTCCAATTATTTCATAAAATAATTAAAATTATCTTCCAATTATTTAATCAAATATTTGACATTATATTCCAATTATTTCATAAAATAATTAAAATTTATCTTACAATTATTTAATAAAATAGTTAATTAAATTATTATTTTCCAAATATTTCCCTAAATTAAAAAATTTAATTAAAATTATTTTCCAAATATTTCCCTAAATTAAGAAATTGAATGTGGCGTAGTTTGTAAAAGGTCCGGTAGAGGGCTTCTCGCAAGCGATATTCGAAATTTTCGTTTATAAAAGATCCACTTGTCCTTGAGTCAGATAATCTAGTCAATCAGACTTTTAGTCTGATTTAAATTAGAAATAATTTAGTCTTAGGATAGCACAACTTACATATATAAAACATATGTTCAGCAAATTTTTTAGACTGATTTTCGAATCAGCAGAATTTTAATTAAAAAAAAAATTTCTCTTACAGATTTTGAAAAAAAGCATTTGCATTTTTCACTTTAAAGAACAAAATAAATGTCAATATTAAATAAGATTTGAATCCCTTTTTAAATTAAACTAATTATTTCATATTCAGTCACCTTAAAACTTATTAAAATTTTTTTTAAATTCTCACTAAAAAATTGTAATATTGAAAATTTCTTTCAAATAACATTGGAATTTGGAATTGTTAACAAAAATCAGTTTCACTTGAATATATTCTGGGTTAAAAAATCGTTTTTTAATTTTAAATTTGAGTAATTTTTGACATAATTTATTATTTATAAGCTGAGTATAATAGCCCCTGTTGATAGTAATAAAATTTTATTAAATAACAATTCTAACAATTGATTTTAAAAATTCATTTATAAGTTTCGAAAAAATTAAAAATTTTTTTGAAAAAATGTTGGAAAAAGTAAAAAAAAAAAAAAAAACGTAGAATCCTAAATCTGAATTGATAATTATTATTTAAAAAAAAAATGTACTAAATTCTAGCGACTTATGTTTATAATTTAATGCGAATAGACATTTTTTTTTAAATGTAAGTAAATTAAATATAATTCTAATGTGAGGGAAAATTGAAAACAAAAATTTAGAAAATGTAAAACAATAATTTTTAGATAAAATTTTTTAAAAGTAATTGAATTTTCAAAGATTTACAAATTAAATTTTTTGAAAATAATTCAACTTGAAGTGATTTTTAATTTAAAATTTTTGATAATTTCACCAAAAAAATTGATTAGAAATTGCAGAAAAAAAAAATAATAATTTGAAAAGTTTTTAAATGAAAAATGCTTTCAAATAATTGAATTTTCGAAAAATATTATAAAACATCATTTAAAATAATTGAATTTCAGAAGAGTAATAATTGAAATTATTAAATTTCAAAAAAAATTTTAGATGGAAAATTTTATAAATAATTAAATTTTAGAAGCTTTTAAATTGAAATTTTTGAAAATAATTGAATTTCAAAAGAATGTGTTAAATTTTAAACAATAATTATTATAAGAGAAATTATCAGTGATTTTTGTTGATGAAGAATTTATTAGAAATCACATAAAAAAAAATTGAATTCCAAAAGTTTTTAATTGAAAAATACTTTCAGAATAATTGAATTTTCAAAGAATATTATAAAAATCATTAAAAATAATTGAAATTTTTGCAAATAACTAAATTTCAAGTGATTTTGAATTAAAATTTTTTGGTAATTTTATTTGCTAATTTTTTTTTTTTGTAAAATTATAAAAAATTATTAAATTTCATAACAATTTTAATTAAAAAATAGTTTAAGACAATTGAATTTATGGAGAATTCATTGAAAATAATTAATTTAGTGAAAAATTTGTTAAATAATTGAAATAAAGAAGATCTAAAGAAGATCTGCATTGTATACTAGAAAAACGTATTTTGTTTAAAAATTTAAAAAAAAAGTCGAAAAAAGTAAAAAAAAATTCGTATAATCCGAGGCTTAAATTTATGAAATTAATTAATTTAAATACAAAGCTGAAGTACGCAAAGTTTATGATAAACGTTTTTTAAAGAAATAATTTTTTAAAATCAAAAATTCTTCAAATTTTTTGCTTAAAAAATATTTCTTGTAGTTTTTTTATTAATCAACAAATTATAAAAATATAATATTTTTTAAGCAAAAAAATTAGAGAATTTTTCATTTTAAAAAATTATTTCTTTAAAAATCGTTTATCATAAACGTTGCGAACTTTAGTTTCGTATTTAAATAAATATTTAAAATAAACTTACCATGTGGTATTAATTTCTGCATAAGCCTTGAATTGGTAATATTCGATTGTCGAACAATTGTCCTTGTATTTGTTGAAATTGTATACGAACTTCGACTACTATCCGAACAAACGCTTAATCGATCATCTAAATCGGGAGCGCTTTGTGTACTCTCAATACTTTCCGTTGAACCACCGGCGTTACCAATTTGTTCCGTTGAACCTCTCATCACACCAACGAGTCGCTGATCAGTTTCACTTTTATATTTACCAAGTGCATATAAACCCAAATTCCTCGGTATATTTGGCTGCGATCCTTTTGGATAGGCAAAACTACTCGGTGGCTTTATTGTTCTCAATGCATTTGACGTTGGAATGTTTGGATTGGATTTTTGCAAAAATTGTGGCAATTTCGAGAAACTTTTTGGCGCTGGCAATTTGCGAATTTTCGGTTTTACAAATGTCGAATTTTGCTGCTCTTCCTGTAATTGGCGAATTTTTAATAAATTCTAATTATTTGAAATCAAAAAGAATTTTTAGCTTTTTTCTTTTTAATTCAAAAAATTGAAATACAATGATTTTTTTTTTTAAGTTTAAAATTAACAAATTAACAAAATAATTTTTACCATTTTTTTAAATTCAAAATTAAAATACAAAAATGTTTTTTTTTCACCTCATTGGGAATTTCCGTTTTCTTCAAAGGTTTACAAAATGTTGAATTAACAATTTGCTCTGGAATTTGTTCATTTTTCGAAAATGTTGCATTCGCCAACATTTCATTTGACGAATATGTACAATCAAAATTTGTTCCATCATCATTTTTCGAAAATGTCGCATTAACATTGTCCTCTGATTTTCTAAATGTCTCATTTTTATCAATATTTTTCTTACGAAACGTTTGAAACCTACCAATCATATCATTTGGAATTGTTTCGCGTATATCACTCAATTTTTTTAAACTCTCCTTCTTATATGTTTTATAATAATCAAAGGGCGCTGCCATTGACATTGTTTCCATTGAATTTTCATATGTCATATTAAATTCTCTCTTTAAATCCTTCTCATGATTTGTGGCTGAATTTTTACAACTTCTTTCAACTTCCTCTAATAATTCTTGTCGAAGACTCGAGGCACTGACAATTTTTGAACTATTACTACTACTACTACTATTATTATTATTATTGATATTTCGATTTTGATTTAAATGTGAATTATTGGAATTTTCAAGGAATTTATGACAAGAAAGACGTTTTACATTGAATGTCATGTCTGCGTCGATTAACGCATTTTCCATGGAATTTTCATTTATTTTTGTTGCATTTAAATTATCGAATTTTTCAAATAATGACAATTTTCCATCGTCAGGCGTTGAAGTATCGAAAACGTGTTTTGACATGAATATTGGAGAATATTCGTCATGAGTGGAACTTGCCTGGAAAAAAAGAAATTTAACACTATATATATATATATTTTTTTTAATAATCAATTTTTAAATCGCGAATTTTTCTTTTATTGACTTTTTTTGTTTCGATATATTTAATTAAAAATTTTTGATTTTTTAATTAATTTTTCTTCTTATAATTAGAAATCTCTTTTCAATGATAGTTTAAAATTTTTATACGGAAAAAGTTTTTAATTCCGAACAAAGAAAGTTATTTTTTTTTTTAGAATTTAATTGTTTTATCACTTCTTCTTTATTTTAATTAAAAAATTTTGTTTATAATAATTTATTATAACTTTCATTTGGAAAATATATTGAAATTCTGAACAAAGAAAAAAATGATTTTGTTTTTAGAATTTATTTGATTTGGAAATTTTTTTCTTTAATTACTTCTTATTTCTTTTAATTAAACATTTTTTTTAAATCTCTTTTTTATGATAGTTAATCACTTTTATTTGGAAAACAATTTTTTATATTCCAAAAAAAAGTCGAAAAAGTCGATTTTTTTATTCTAACAAATTTTAATTAGTTAATAAATATTTTACTTTAAATAACTAATGTTAATAGATATTAAATTCATTTTATTAATTTTGTAATAAGAATAATTCTATAAAAAAAATATAATCAAGAAAATTTATTTCGAATATTTCATAATCAAACTAATTGTAAGACAAATTTTCAAAATTTTATTTAATTAGAACAAATTTTTAAAAATATTTTTAAAGTTCCATTTTTATAATTTTTTGAAATCTAATTTAGTCAATTTATTCGAATTAAATATTTTGTTATAATTTTTAGTTTTGATTGTCAAAAAAATTTCAGGCAATACTTAATCAAGTTTTATAGATTTTTAAATAAAAATATTATTTAAATAATATTTAATTATTAAATTATGATGATTAATTTTGTTTAAATTAGAATTATCGTATCATAGTACACTGTACGAATGGGCGCTGCCCGTATACTTTGAATAAATAAATAAATAAATAATAATTTTGAAAGAGTTAAAGTTGAAATTTTTAGAAATAATTGAATTTCAAAAGATTTTGTTAATTTTTCGACAATAATTAAATTTTACAGAACTAAAAATAATTTATCAAATAATTTCAGATAACATTTTTCAAATGTAATTGAATTTTCAAAGATTTACAATTGAGATTTTTGAAATTAATTGAACTTCAAGTGATTTTTTATTTAAAATTTTTGATTATTTCACTAAAAAATTTATTAGAAATTGCAGAAAAAAAACAATAATTTGAAAAGTTTTTAAATGAAAAAGGCTTTCAAATAATTGAATTTTCGAAGAATATTATAAAAATCATTTAAAATAATTAAATTTCAGAAGAGTTATAATTGAAATTATTAAATTTCAAAAAAAATATAGGTGGAAAATTTTAGAAGCTTTTAAATTGAAATTTTTGAAAATAATTGAATTTTAAGTTAATTTTGAATTGAAATTTTTGCAGGTAATTGAATTTTGAAAAATATTTGAATTTTAGTTAATTTTGATTTGAAATTTTTGAAAATAATTGAATTTTAATTAAAATTTTGGAAAATATTTGAGTTTTAATTGAAATTTTGGAAAATAATTAAATTTTAATTGACATTTTGAAAAATATTTGAATTTTAATTGACATTTCGGAAAATATTTAAATTTTAGTTAATTTTGAATTGAAATTTTTGAAAGTAATTGAATTTTAATTGATTTTGAAATTAAATTTTGGAAAATAATTAAATTTCAGTTGATTTTGAATAGAAAATTTTGAAAATAATTGAATTTTAATTGAAATTTAAGTTAATTTTAAAATGAAATTTTGGAAAATAATTGAATTTTGGAAAATATTTGAATTTTAGTTAATTTTGAATTGAAATTTTTGAAATTAATTGAATTTTAATTGATTTTGAATTAAAATTAAAAATTTTCTTTATTGCAAAATGCTTTCAAGTAATTGAATTTTTGAAGAATATTATAAAAATCATTAAAAATAATTGAATTTCAGGAGAATTATAATTGAAATGATTAAATTTCAAAAAAAAAAAAAAAAAATTAGATGAAAAATTTCAGAAATAATTAAATTTTTAAAGCTTTTAAATTTAATTTTTTGAAAATAATTGAATTTCAAAAGATTGTGTTAAATTTCAGACAATAATTATAATAAGAGAAATTTTTAGTGATTTCTGTTGATGAAGTATTTATTAGAAATCACATAAAAAAATTGAATTCCAAAAGTTTTTAATTGAAAAATGCTTTCAGATTATTGAATTTTCGAAGAATATTACAAACATATTTAAATATAATTGAAATTTTTTACAAATAATTAAATTTCAAGTGATTATGAATTACAAATTTTTGGTAATTTTATTTGATAATTTTTTTTTTTGAAAATTATAAACAATTATTAAATTTCATAAAAATTTTAATTGAAAAATAGTTAAAGACAATTGAATTTGTGAAGAATTTCATTAAAATTATTAAAAATAATTAATTTAGTAAATAATTTTAGTTAAAAATTTGTTAAATACTTGAAATAAAGAATATTTGAAGAAGATTTGCATTGTATACCAAAAAAATACGTATTTTGTTTAAATTTTTTCTTTTTTTAAATGTAAAAACGTCGAAAAAGTCGTATTTTATTAAAATAAGTCGAAAAAGTCGTAGAATCCGAGACTTGAATTCTAAATAAATAAGTAAATAAATTTCTTACCTTTTCTGAAAAACTCATTGCAGACGGAGAATTTGCCTCATTAACATATGTTCTTTCCATTGGACTATTATCAAATTTTTTCAAAATAATAGGACTAATACTCTCTTTTGTTCGATTAAATGAAATTTCACAAATCTCTTTTGTCTCATTAAATTTAGGTGAAATTTTCTCCATATCCAATGAATTAACACAAGTTAAAGTTTGATTAAATGGACTTGTGCAAATTTTTGTCTCATCAAGATTTGGACTTTGACAATTATTTTTCATCTCAATCACTGGACTTAGACAATGTTTTGTTTCATTTATAGGATTTGCTAAAAATGTATTATTATGTTGAAATGTACGGGTTATATTATTATCATCAGATTCATAATTTTTTTCCGTAAAACTATTGATATTCAATGATTCTTGAAATATACTCGCTTGCATCATTGATTCAGATAAAATACCCGAATCCATATCGCAAAGTGATTCATTTCTTTTTAATGTTTCATCGGCATTATTTGATATAATTGATGAATACAATAGCGATGGTTGTGATTCATTCATTATTTCAGAGAATTCTGAATTTGATTGTGAGAGATTTAAAAATATTTCAAGACTCTCTTGATTCATTGAACTTGATTGGGAATTTGTTATAAATGAATTTTTTGGTCTTAACATTGATGGTATTTCTAATGTTCGTTGCGGTGTCGCTTCTTCCATTCGAAACTTAAAAAAAAATATATATATTATTAAAATATAGAAATTAAATAATTGAATAAATTTACAATAACAAAAATACTCAAAGATTTTTGGCTCCGTTAATTATATTCAATTTTACAGTTAAAAAGAATATTTTTATGTTTCTTTATTTTATGTTTATTTATAAAAATAAATTCAATTATTTTAAAATTTATTACTGTAAATTAAAGAATAAAAATTTTAATCAATTTTTTTTTCTAATTAATTTTGAGTTTACTTTAAAAAAAAAAAAAATTGTTTAAATTAAATATTTCACTTACTTGACCGGGAACTTTGGGCTTTTCAATTAAATGCGGTGGTGGAGTTGCTAACGATTCCATTATTGCATCGAAATTCATTTTATTGGATCGTCTTTTCACTCTAGTGAATGTTCTTGTGTCAATGGATTTCTTCAGAGCTTTAGCAATTCAAAAAATTTAAATTAAACATTTTTTTTATTTTCAAATTATTCTTTAAAATATTATTTAATAAATAAATTTCATTTGGGGACTTTTTTTTAAATTTTATTTTCTATATTATTTACTTGTGAGAAACAAATATTTTTTTTTAATGTATTAAAAAAAAATTGATTTCTACTTTTTAAAATCTAACTAAATAAAAATGTATTAATATTTATTTAGTTAACAAAATATTTAATATTTATTTATTACTTACTAAATATTTATTTATTACTAAATAAATATTAATAAATTTATTTATTAACATTTAAACATTTAGAAACTAATTTTTTTTTTAAAGTTTTAACATTTTTGGTTTTGTTAAAAAAAAAAAAATTTTTATTATTCTAAATTTTTTTTATCGTTTGAAAAGAAAAGAAAAATTAAAAAAATAATCTAATATTTATTAATTAAAAATATGGAAGGGAAAAATTTATATATTAATCTTTTTTTTTTTATATATAATAAATTTTCACCATTTGCATGTGCTTGAGGTTCAGATGGATCCGATTTGAGCCATGCGTACAAATCATGAACTCTCGACTCCGAGGAACATTGATTATAATCACACAACCTGTGAAAATAATTAATTTCTCTTTTTCATTTTTAATTTAGTTGAAAGTAAATTTTTTAATGAAAGAGTATTCAAATTATTTTGTCAGAGTTCTACATAGTTTCATAATTTTTAGTGTCTATATAATTTTTAAATATTAACAAAAATAAATAAATAAAAACAATTTTTTTGAAAGAGAATTTCAAAAAAAAAACAAAAAGGTTTTCGTTATTTTGTTAACTTCTTTTTTATAGCAAAAATTTATAATTTAAATAAATAATAATTTAATAATATAATAAATAACACAATAATAATTATTATAATTTTAATAATAATTATAATATTTTTAATAATAATTAAATTCATAATACAGTTCAAAAAATATTTAACAAAAATAAATAATAATAATAATTAGTATTATTATTTTCTTATGAATAATAAATTAATTAAAGAAAACTTCATAAACAAATAAAATTTATTACATTTTAAAAATTTTCAATTTATTTTTTTATATATTTGTAAACAGTTTTTTTACATAATTAAAATTAGATTTTTAAAATAAAAGTAAATAAATTAAAAATAGAATAATAGTAAAAAAAAAAAAAATTAAAGCCTATAAATTAAAAAAAAAATTCTAGAATATTTAAATTTAAAAAGTAAAATTTTTGTTAATTTTTTATATATTTTAAAAATAATATTATATCCCAAAATTATTATTATTATTATTTTGGATTCTTAAAATGTGTAAAATCTGCACAACTTTAAAAATGTTAAATAATATTTACATAATTATGCGTCATATTTATTGTTCCCACTTTTCCATTATAATTATCTTAATTTAGTCATTGTATTTTAATATCATTTTTCTTCGATAAGATAACAAAAATTTTGTTACCCTTGAAAAATAAAATATAAAATTTTTTTTACCTAAACTTACGATTGCAAAAAAAGTAAATTTTTTTTATAAATTTTTACGAATCGAAATAGAAAGTAAAAAATCGTAAAAATATTGAGGTTATGTTGGAAATGTTAAATATTCCAACGATATATATACAAATATATAAAAAGAAAATAATTATAGAATGGAGAAAAAAAATTTTTTAAAGAGGGGAAAAAAAATGTGAAAAATTAAAAAAACAGATGAAAAAAGAAAAAGATTTTTAATAATATACATATATATATATATATATATGTCTGTATCAAAAATTATTATAACTTACCAACGATCACTGTCCTCAAGATCCATGGAATCAACGTCAATAATTTCATTTTCATCGATAGATTCACAATTCTCTGCAGCTTCCTCCAATGCTCCAGAATCCATTTTCAACTCTGACATATTTGTCTTTGTAACTGTCAGTAGGTTATAAATATACACTACACGACATATTTTTTTTTACCGTTAAAAATTCAACACGACGATCGCCATTTCAATTAATACAAGTCTATTATATACAAATAGAAATATTAAATTTTCTTAAACTTTATGCAAATGTTCTAATTTCTTGTGAATATATAAAGAAATAGTGGAATATATTCTCAAGATTATAATTCAATAGGCACTATTGGGCACTATACACCGTAACAATAAGAATCATTTTAAAAATATAAATTTCTATACACACACAAAAGCACTAATACATTACGTATATTCACATATACATATATGATGAGGGATAGGGATAAAGGCAAAGGCACAATAAATAAAATAACAAAGAGCTATAAAAAGTAAGGTTAGTTCTGTCGTTGGCTCCCCAGGGATTGGAACTCTCCCACGAAAAGTGACACATTTCAGACGTTGTATTGTATAGTGTACAGGGTTCTGAAGTTACACATTGTAAATGCATCGTACTTGGATGCGTGTGCATCGTATCGACAATAATAACTATCGTGTTTTTTTAGAATGAAATTAATTACTTGAAATAATTATTGAATTAATTATTAATTAAAATTAATTTTATTTATAAATAATATATCCAACCAAATATTTTTTAATTAAAAGGTTTCGTATGAATAAAACGATATAACATTCGATTGTCGTTTTAATAAAAGTTTACTCCAACGTTTCGAAATCTAAATGATTTGCTTTTCTGCGGGAGTCAAATTAAAACAGATGTCAAGTCATAGAGTTAATAGTCAATTGCCGTGTCAAATTAAATAAAAACAAATTTAAAAAATATATATAGTTCATAACTTTTCTTACGCATATAAATCTACGACACTATAAACACATGAATTTTGTCTAAAAAATGCACGTACCAGCTGATGTGGATTAAGGTAGTATTACACTTTAGAAGCAGTAAAAAAAGGGTTGAAACAAAAATTTTTTTCTCGTTAATTACTTTATTTAAAGAAAAGAAATACAATATTAAGGACAAATAGTTCTTTAAGAAAAAAAAAAAAAAAAAAATTTTTATTGGATCTTTCTGGTCACCAGAGGGCACTGAAGTCAAGGTAAAAAAAATTAGGTCAATCAGCGGACAAGCTGCAGCCTCTCAGGGGCATCGGATTTAAAAACAAAAAAAAGAGGCGTTTTAAAACTGAGACACGTGGTTGAGCATTGTGCCTTGCCCGATAAAAAATATTTAACCCATTAACGACCGCTAGGACGAAAAATTTACCTTCACTTAGCAGCTGTTATTTTATATGAAAAAATAATTTTAAAAATTCAGGATAGCCCATTTCTAACGTAAAATTTATCGCTCTTTTCGATTCTGAAGTCCAAATTTAATTATAATTAAATCCTTAATATTTATAACAATTTTATTTCAAAAAAACATGATTTTCTGCAAAAAAATTTTTATTCAAAAAATATTTTGACATGGAACGACAGTTAATTTGCTCCGGAACCCAAAATATCGCGTCCTCGAATACCCAGCTACAAAACTATATAGTTGCGAATTTCAAAATTTAAGATGACGGACGACAAAATGGCGATTTTCCACTAAAAAAGATTTAAAAAATACTATTTTGCAAAAAATAATATATTGGTGAATTATTTTTATTTCTGCACCATATACTTATGTTTTTTGGGTCACTAAACACGAATACGGTATAAGTTTTCAAAAATTCAAAATGGTGGATCCAATATGGCGGACAATTTTTTCAAAAACTCAATGGATTTATCTGAAATTTGTTACTCCGGGGTTTTTGGGGTCGCCGGTTACGAATCTGAAGTTACTTTTCAATAATTCAACATGACGGATCCGAAATAGCCTACAAATTTTAAAATTCACCGAATTTGCATGAAAATCAATACTTATTGAGTTTTTGGGGTCGTTGATTACGAATTACTTCACTTTATATTGAAATCAAACACATTTTTTTTTACTGATCTACTATTTTATTACTGTGTGACTATAAAATTTCACCATTTCTACCGTCAAAGGAGTACTGAAATTATCAAATTGTTTAACATTTTTTATAAAAATTTCTAAAGAGAGGCGTACTTTAAAGGATTTTCTGCAGGGTTAAAATTTGTAGGCTATTTTGGATCCGCCATGTTGAATTATTGAAAAGTAACTTCAGATTCTTAACCGGCGACTCCAAAACCCCTGAGTAACAAATTTTAGATAAATCCATTCAGTTTATGAAAAAATTGTCCGCCATTTTGAATTATTGAAAAGTAACTTCAGATTCGTAACCGGCGACCCCAAAAACCCCGGAGTAACAAATTTCAGATAAATCCATTAAGTTTTTGAAAAAATTGTCCGCCATATTGGATCCGCCATTTTGAATTTTTGAAAACTTATACCGTATTCGTGTTTAGTGACCCAAAAAACATAAGTATATGGTACAGAAATAAAAATAATTCACCAATATATTATTTTTTGCAAAATAGTATTTTTTAAATCTTTTTTAGTGGAAAATCGCCATTTTGTCGTCCGTCATCTTAAATTTTGAAATTCGCAACTATATAGTTTTGTAGCTGGGTATTCGAGGACGCGATATTTTGGGTTCCGGAGCAAATTAACTGTCGTTCCATGTCAAAATATTTTTTGAATAAAAATTTTTTTGCAGAAAATCATGTTTTTTTGCAATAAAATTGTTATAAATATTAAGGATTTAATTATAATTAAATTTGGACTTCAGAATCGAAAAGAGCGATAAATTTTACGTTAGAAATGGGCTATCCTGAATTTTTTAAATTATTTTTTCATATAAAATAACAGCTGCTAAGTGAAGGTAAATTTTTCGTCCTGGCGGTCGTTAATGGGTTATTAAAAATGACAAAATGGTAGTGAATTCAAAAAATTTTCCAAAAAAAGGGTTTTTTTTAGCAGTTTTTGGGTCGTAGCTAAAAACCAAAAAAGGAATAGATAATTGATTTTAGGCATAATGCCTGCAGGCTTTAATTACGAAGAAAATTATTTTTTTTTCTTTATTTTTTGGATAAATAGAATCCGAGTTATTGGAATCCGAAATCTTGTGTAACTACTCAACTTTGAAACCACTTGCGGCAACCATCTTGCTGTTTTGTCTCTTTCCTTATATACATATGTAAGACAATTTGCAAAAAAGAACAATGTAATAGCTCTAATAGTTTGCGAGATACAGTCTCTCAAACTTGACCCCTTTGAGGTTTTACAAAGAATGGTAATAAATGAGATTCTATTAATTGCATGTTTTGGTGATATTTTTCAGTACGTAAAATATTAATATTATATATATATATATAAGTATAAAAAAGGAATACAACAAAAAATTTATAATTATTCGATTATTTAAAAATATTCTAAAACAAAACAAAGCCAAAAAAAAGAAGTAAAAAAGCTAATTTGTTTTTGTAATGTTTTCGATGTTTAACAATAAGTTAAAAGTATCAATCCAAATCTCTGCTAATCAGTATTAAACTTCACTTCTGGATGATTTATTGTCAGTTAATTTTTGTTTTTGAATATTAAAAAAAAAAGAAAATTAAAATTGAGTCGAATTATAATTTACTAATTTTCGAAGTCATTTTTTTTAAAATACATTATATATATCTTATCTATTTTTAAATACTGAAATGTCTCTAAATTCATCCATGGTTGAAACTTGTGCAAAAAATGGAAATATTTTAGCCTTGACGACGACAAATATTTCATCGAAGCATGGAGAAAAAATTCAACAAACTAATGGATTTAAAATAAAGGGAACTTCAACATATTTTCAAACAGAATTAAAGTGGTTAAATATAATAATTTTTTTAATACTCCACATTGTAGCAGTTTATGGTTTTGCGACTTTTCCTTATTTTCAGAAAAAAAGGACATTCTTTTTTTGTAAGTATTTTATTCAAAAAAAAAAAAAAAAAAATGGGACGCATGATTATGTTCTAAAAATCATTAGTTAGAATTTTCATTTTATGGAATTTCATTTGTCATAATTATTTTTCAGACGAATGTTTATTTTCTCGAATTTTCATTTAACATAATAGGCATTTTAAAGAATTTTTATTGGGTAGAATTTTCATTTTATTCTTTCAGATGAATTTTCATTTGTTCGAATTATTATTTGATTGGATTTCCATATAATCAATTTTTCATACTACTAAATTTTTACTTAACCGAAAAATCATTTAACAGAATTTCTAATTTATAGGATTTTCATTTGTCCGAAATTTCAAATGACTGAGCAAACAATCGATTTTGGCGCGATTTTTAAAATCAACCAATCAAAAATTATACATAAAATTGTGATTGGTTGATTTTAAAAATCGCGCCAAAATCAATTGTTCGGACATTTGCAATTTCGGACAAATGAAAATCCATCTGAAAGAATAAAATGAAAATTCTATGCAATGAAATTCTACTCAATAAAAATTCTTTAAAATGCCTATTATGTTAAATGAAAATTCGAGCAAATAAAAATTCTAACAAATAAAAATTCTGTGAAGTGAATTTTCGGTCATATAAAAATTATGTAATATAGAAAATCGTTTTGATGAAAATTCTACAAAATACTAATTCGAACAAATAAAAATTTGTCTCAAAAATAATTATGGAAAATGAAATTCCATAAAATGAAAATTCTGACTAATGATTTTTACACTGAAAAAAAAATTTATTTGATTCAAATACTTCAAATTATTTGAAAAATATTTAATTGGTTCAAATACTTTTTATTTGGATCGAAAAAATATGTATTTGATTCAAATAACTTGAATTATTTGAATCGCATTTATTTGAACCAAATAAATCGTATTTGGTTCAATTAAATAATTAATTTTGAATTAAATAAATGAATTTATTTAATATAAATAATGAGTTACTTGAAATTATTCATTCATTTATTTAACTCAAATATTTATCGTTTATTTGATACAAATAAAAAGTATTTGACACAATAAATTTATGTAATTGATTCAAATAAACTGAATTATTTAATACAAATAATTCATTATTTAATCCTAATACACTATTTCATCAAGACAAATAAAAAAATATTTCAATCAATTAAATGTTTATTTGAAACGATAATAATGATTTACTTGAAACAATTAATTTATTTATTTCACTTAAATATTTTGTTTTATTGAAACCAATAAAAAGTATTATTGATACAATAACTTTATTCAGAACAACGAAAAACGCGTTTTTAATAAAAATATATTTACACTTTTTTTGAAAATTCACCTGGGATGATTCATGATAATAATCATGAAGCTTATAATTAATTATATTTTATTAATTGCATTTAATTGGAAAATATAATTTAATATCTTAATTTTAACTTAATGATGTTAAGCACTTTTCTGAGTTAGGTATTTTACAAGTTTAAATGCCATCAAAAAGTTAGCATTCGTTTTCACGTAGCGTGCGTAGCGTAGTTGGTAAAGCGTTAGACTCATAGTCCGTAGGTCGTAGGTTCGATTCCCCCCATGCGTTAGATTTATTTATTTCTCAGGTTTGCATTTAATCATTAATTCTATGTATGAATTAGTTGAAAAATGAAAATATTCGATCATAGTATGTAGAAATTACATATTTTTTAATTTATTTATTTGAGTAAGAATTTAATTTAGAAAAATGGAAGAATTAGTAAATAAATATGTTATTTATTCAATTCAAATTTTGATTTATTTGAATCAAAAAATTCTTACATTTTATGCAAATAAATTATGTATTTGGATCAAATAAAATAATAATTGCCGCAATTAAAGAGGTTTTAGTTTCAATTAAAACAATTACTTATGACAAATAATCGAATATTTGATTCAAGAAAATTTTTAGTTGTTTCAAGTAAACTATTTTATTAATTCAAATAAATATTTATTTGAATCAAAAAACATGCAGTACTGAATGAAATAATTTTCATAATTGATTTAAAAAATTATTTATTAGCTTTGAATATTCCATTTATTTGATTTGAATATTTTGTATTTGATTCAAATAACTCTTTATTTGATACGATAAAATAAAATACTTAGGTTTAGTAAATGTGTATTTGGTTCAAATACATATTTATTGAATAATAGACAAGTAAATGATGTATTTGGATCAAATACTTTTTATTTGATACAAATAAATTTTTTTTCAGTGTAGAACATAATAATGCATCGTTTTTGCTTTATAATAAATAAAATTGAATAAAGTCTTATTAATGTTTTTTAAAAAATATTTTCTATATGCAAATATCATTAAAATTTATAATTTTAGCATATATTGTTTCACATATGGTTGGTTTTGGAATAACTGCTGGTGCACACCGTCTATGGACCCATCGGGCTTATAAAGCTAAATTGCCTCTAAAAATATTTCTTCTTTATTGTTACTACACATCTGGACAAGTAGGAAAATAATATAGGATTATATTTTATTTTTAAAAAAAAACCGTGTATACGCTTTTTAACTCTCCTTAGGGTCATTTTGACGAAATAAATTCAAAAACTTTAAATTTCTTCCTTTCTTAGTTTTCACTATACAATTGGGTGAGAGATCATCGCGTTCATCATAAATATTCCGAGACGGAAGCAGATCCACATAACAGTAAACGGGGATTTTTTTTCTCTCACATTGGTTGGCTTTTGATGAAAAAACGTCCGGAAGTAATAAAACGAGGATGTGAAATTGATATGAGGGACATTCTAAAGGATCCAATTATTGTATTTGCTGAAAAGTATATTATATCACTCAGAAAAAAAACTTCTTTATTTTAAAGAAATTTTCATTTGAATCAAAGAAATTTGTTAATATTGGGTCAAATATATATAATATATATTGGGATCAGAAATCACGCGAAACTGACCCACCCCTGAGCCTTTTTGTGACAACCATCTAGGTTTTTTATCTCTTTCTTTTGTATATGTTAGAGAAACACGGAATGAAAACATGGCCACCACAACAAGGCTCTCACCAGATGGCGTATCGCAGTATTTCAGATCCCAATAGGGTCAAAGAAAAAATTTCTTTAATTTAAAGAAATTATTTCTTTACTTCTTTTTTTGTCAACTCGCAATGAAATCTTTATATGAAAAGTATATCATTCAAAGAAAAATATATCTTTAATTTAAACAAAAATTTTCTTTTTTGGTTCAAACAAATTTCATCATTAATTCAAAAAGTAATATTTAAAAAAAACTTATTTCTTTGTTTCAAAGAAATTTTTTTTCTTGGTTTTCCAAAATGATAAAATTTGAACTTCTCGCAAGGAAGTTGCTAACAATTTTTGCAAAAAAAAAAGAAATTATTTTTCTCTTATGTAGGTATCATATAATTTTGAATATCCTTTGCTGTTTTGTAATACCAATAATTATACCCGTATACTTTTGGCATGAAGGCTGGTACTATTCAATAATGGCAACAAATGCGCGTTTCATTCAAACATTGAATTATACTTGGAGTGTCAATAGTTTTGCTCACATGTGGGGTTCTAAACCTTATGATAAGTAAGATATTTTTCTTTAACTACATAAAATATTTTTTTTTAATGACAATAGTAAAACAGAGAGAAATATTAAAAACACTTTACTAAAAATTGAAGATAATGAAAACAAAATAAATTTCGAATTTAGAAATTTTTGCGTTATTTTAACCTTTAAACTGTTATAGCGGTCTCTCAGACCGCTGCAGAAGTTTAAGGGGTAAAATAACGCAAACATTTATTTGTTAACATAGAATTATAATTAATCATTAATAAATAATTTAATAAATCCTTGAACTGCTATAGCGGTCTCTTAGACCTCTGCAGTAGTTTGAAGGTCAATAAATAATAATAAACAAAAATAAGAATTTTTTCTAATGGTTATATAAATTCTAATTATAAAATTCAATTTTTTCGGTTAATAAAAAACTATCAATTACTCTAAAGTTAATATTATTATTGCAGAACAATAGCTCCAGTGGAAAACAAATTGGTTGCCTATGCAACTTTAGGAGAAGGCTTTCACAATTATCATCATATGTTTCCGTACGATTATAAATGCGCAGAATTGGGAATTTACAATTTAAATTGGACTACCTGTTTAATTGATATGTTTGCAAAAATCGGATGGGCATACGATTTAAAACAACCGTCGAAAGAATTAATAAAAGCAGTGATGAATAAAAAAGGAAACGGAAGTAAATTTTGTTGAAAAATGTTATGATAAAGTTTAATTTAATAAATAAAGGCAACTAATATTTATTGTATTATTAAAAATGAGAAAATTTGTAATTAACAATTTATGTGCTTTAAAAAATGTTTAAATTCATTTAACAAAGAAGATATGTAAAAACAATAATTACAAATTAAAATAAGCAATAACGCGTTTGTCGCGCGTCATCAATTTTTTTTCCCCCATTTAAAATGATAATTTAAAAAAAAAACTTCTGCGTGAATTACAAAAAAAATACTAATAAAAAAATTTCTTAACATAAATAACTCTCGAGTTCAAATTGTTAGAAATTTCAGAGAAATCCCCATCTTTAATTTTTCAGTGTTTTATTACCTAATTAACCTCTTTAAAATATGTTCGACCTTTTTTAAAAAAAAATTGACCAAACTAGTTATAATAATAATAACAATTTTTTAATTTCATTAAGCTTATAGAACATAATTATTTATATTTTTTAAGAATTGAGGCTCCGGATCATAAATGGGCACAAGCGCAATAGAAATGAAACTATGCGGGTAAAATCATAAAAACCATGGGCGAAATCGATTGCCAAGAAAAAAACGATTAGACCCATGGTTTAAACCTTGGTAAAAATTTCAAAAACCATTGCTTATGTCCGTTTCCCATGGTACAATTTTCCATAGGAAATTTTTTTTTAATTTTACGGATTTTGGACCATGGCTAAAAACTTGCCAACCATGGGAAACAATTTTTTAATTTTACGGATTTTGGACAATTGCATAAATCTTGCGAACCATGGGAAAATTTTTTTTTTCTTTCTTACGGATTTTGGACAATGGCTAAAAACTTGCGAACCATGGGAAAATTATTTTGTTTAATCTACGGATTTTTTACCATTGCGAAAATCATGCGAAATATGGAAAATTAATTTTAAAAAATAATTCCCAAAGGTTCGCAAGTTTTTAACCATGCTCCAAAATCCGTAAAATAGAAAAAATTTCCCATGGTTCACAAGATTTTAGCAATGGTTTAAAATCAAAAAAATTAAAAAACTTTTTCCCATGGGTTTCATGATTTTAGCAATGGTTTAAAAACAGTAAATTTAAAAAAAAATTTCCCATGGTTCGAAAGATTTTAGCAATGGTCAAAAATCCGTAAATTAAGAAAAATAATTTTCCCATGTTTCGCAAGATTTTAGCAATGGTCCAAAATCAGTAAAATTAAAAAAAATAATTTTTCCATGGTTCGCAAGATTTTATCAATGGTTCAAAATTAAAAAATTTTTTTTTTTTTATTTCCCATCGTTTGGCAAGATTTTAGCAATGGTCCAAAAACTGTAAATTTAAAAAATTAATTTTCCCATGGTTGGCAAGTTTTTAGCAATGGTCTAAAATTAGTAAAATGAAAAAAAATTTTCCAAGGTTTCCAAGATTTCAGCAATGGTTAAAAATCCGTAAAATTAAAAAAAAAAAATTTCCCATGGGAAACGGACATGAGCAATGATTTTTAAGATTTTTGCCAAGGTTTAAACCCATGGGTCTAATCGTATTTACCTTGGCAATCAATTTCGCCCATGGTTTTTATGATTTTACCCATGGTTCCATTTCCACGCGGGCGAACTGTCGTAAAATAATTTAGCCCCTGGAGATAAAATTTGGAAATTGTTCAAAATTAAATTTCAATTATTGCTTTTTATAGAAAATTTTATTGCACATTTTTTTTCCAAAATAAATTTTTTTTTTTTAATAACTTACCGATTTTTATTTATTGACAAAAAACGTCATTCTTAAGAATCGGAAAATTTTAATGCTTTTTTGTGTTCAACTCGCGATTATTTCGACAAATATTAATATTTTTTCACGATATTTTAACACAATATTCGTCAAACTATTTTAAAAGTGAAAGCACATTTGAAAGTTTTTTTTTAAAAAATTCTACGTCCAAGTATTTAATTGTTTAAATAATTTTTCTCGAAAATTGATTCTCTTACATTCAATTGAAAAAATTGTGTGAGGAATTTTCGAATTCGAAAAACTTCCAGTGACAAATATCTTCATTAATATGTAGGGAAGTTTTCTGAAAAATATTAGACCTTTAATTATTGATTTGAAAAATATAGAACAATATGTTCCATTGAAACTTCAAAGGAACAGCTGACTCGACTTGGACCTGGCCTTAAACTGAGCACAAGTGTTGGGGAATGTCATTTTAAGTGTCTAACTACCCTAACCCTAACTACCCAACCCTGTCATTGGCCCTCTGAAGAGAAAATTTTTGTAGAAGCACCTTAATAACACCCCAGCAAATTGTCACATTTCAGACGTTCCTCTTTATTTAGTTAAATTATCAGTGTGAATGAAGATTTAAACAAGTATCGCATTCACAGCTAGTACACCAAACTACTACTTGCCAAGTCAAAAAAGACGCAAAAAAAAATTAATTAAATTGCTTTTCACTTTTTGTTGTAAATTTTTATATTAATAACCGGAAGCCATGTCTGAAGTCACAAACAAATGTAAGAAAATTTAACAATATATTACTATTTCCAATAAATTTTGTGTAAATTAGTATTAGAATTTTCTCTCCACATTTAACTTTAATTAATCATAATTCCTTTGTTAATACTACAATGTTTAGAAAATACTTATATTAATAAAAAAAAGGTGATTATTTTTAATATCGTGTAATATTACTGCACAAAGCTCTAACCTAAAATTTTTTTTTTTGCATCGAAAATTACTATATTAAATTTCTATTTGGCAGAATTTTTTAAAGTAGACTTTATATTAAATTGAATTTTTCTTTTATTTTTCAATTTTTTTTATATATTTTAGTTATAACAAAATTTTGATTTTTAACCAAATTTTTATTAAGACGAAATTTTATATAGAATATTTTCCACTTCCATCGAATTTATATTCATAAAATTTATATTTAGAAAAATTTTTTTTAGAAAAGAATTTTAATTTTACAGAAATGTATTATTTAATCAAATTTTTACTGATTTGAATATTCACTAAACATTATTTTTATTAAAATAAAATTCACATTTAACAAAATATGTAATTAACAATAATTTTTGAACGAATTTTTACGTATAATTAAAAAATTTTAAGCCCAACGAATTTTTATTTAACAAAATTTTTAATATTGAAAAAATTGTTTTACGTCCATTCCAATAATTTTTTTTTCATTTTTTTGCCATGACAGTTTAAAAAAAAAAATTTGAAATAATTTTTAATTTACAAAATTTTTCTTTATCCAACGGAATTATTTAATGAAAATTCCAATTTAACCGAATTTTTATTTAGCAGAATTCTTATTTAACAAAAATTTTAGTGCTTTGAAATTTTAAATACCAGAATTTTCAATTCATCGAATCTTCATTTTTTCGAATAGTTAAAATAATTAAAATGGAAAAATGAAGATTCGGTGAATTGGAAATTTTGGTATTTAAAATTTCGAATCACTAAAATTTTTGCTAAATAAAAATTTGATTTATTTTAATTTTAAAAATAATTTTTCGAAATTCTTAAAACGCCGAATTTTTATTTGCTATTGTCACGATTTTAAAAATTGTTCAATCAAAAATTATGAAAAAAAAGAAAAATTGCGATTGAACAATTTTTTAATTTACGCCGAAATTTTTCTCTCGCTTGTTTTGTTCGGTCAAATAAAAATTCGGCTTTTTAAAAATTCTATAAAATATATAAATTACAATTTGCAAAAATAAAAATTCGGAAAAATGAAGATTCGAATAATTGAAAATTCGATTCTATTAGTTTTTTTTAAAAAATAGTTTTTTTTTAAAAATAAATTCGTGTTGGGTAAAAAAAATTTTGGTAAATTAAAAATTCTGTTAAATACAAATTCGGCTACCTTAAAATTTTATGTTTTAAAAAGGAAATTTTTTCAAAAATTCGAATTCGAGGAAATGAAAATTCAGCCAACGATAAATGAAATTTTGAAAAATTAAATTCTTTTAAATGAAAATTATGAAAATTTTTAAAAAATATATTTTATATATTTTATTCTTTAAATCTGAAAAGAGTTTTATCAGTTTATCTTAAATTTTCAGCAAACGTTATCAATAACGATGAACCACCTCAGAAGAGAATTAAATATTCTCCCGAAAATATAGCAGAAGAATTAAAAATCCTTGAAAACAGGGAAATCAAAACAGGATTTATTAATTGCACCAGTGCTGTTATCACAATCGACGATGAAAAAATCGATCTTCTTAATATTGATTCGAAAATAACATCAAAAATCAAATTCACAAAATCATCATCCAACAACGAAAATAAAGAAAAATCACTTGAAAGACAATTATCAAAAATTTCTTGTCCATTCACAAATTACATTGGACAATCGATAACAACAAAATTATTGGGTGAAAATTATCACGCAATTCCCGATAAATTTATCATTTATCGTGAAAATGATTATCGTCAATTATACAATAATATCAATGAGAAAAATGTCAGTAAATTTTTAATCGTCATTTCACCAACCAATTATAATGGTGGTGAAATTATATTTCCCCAATTAAAAAAAACTTTTAAAAATTCTCAAATTAATGAAAAACAATTGAATTACATTTTATTTAATATTAAAACTAAATATGAAATTTCCAAAATAACTCATGGTATTTGTGTTTTATTAACATTTAAAATAATTGAAACAAATTTTGAAATTGAATTAAAAGAATTAACACAACTTAATACGGATAATTTAAAGAGTTTATTGAAAAATTTAACGGATAAAAATATTTTAATACCAATAACTGAGGGAAATATTGCAAAAAAAATTTGTGACGATATTAAAATAAAATATCGACAAGTTTATGCCGATGAGGAATGTCCAAAAATTGTTTACGATGATATTTCTGATGCTCAGGAACAATCATTTTGTCGTTTTAATGTTTTTTTAAATTTTGAAGATTTAATTGATGATGAGAAACAATTTTCTGTTAATACATATGTTAATCCAATGAAACCGCAAAAAATTAGCGATAAATATACAAGATATCGTAAATCAAATTCACCAAAATCATCGTGCGATGAAGTTGAATATTATTCTTTTTTATTAATTAATCCTTGTAGAGAATTTAAACCAAAAACCGAGTGAAAACTTAAAAAAAGAAAAATTGTTTTCGAGAAAAGAGGAAAAAAAATAATAATATGCTTTTGGGTCAGTCCACTGACTTTTGTCTAATAGTGGTTGCGACCAAATTTAAAAAAAATCTAGTTTTAATATATGTGAAACTCGATGATTCCCTGAAATTCGTTAACCATAATATTATGGTAAAAATTTTATTCCCTTTAAAAATATTAAATATCAAAAGTAGGAGGTTCACAATGTGATTTTGTAACCTTAAATTTTTCAATTTTTTTAAAAACGCTTTTATTAAAAAACTATTAAAAATTAGATGTTGGAACTCACCAAAAACATAAATCACTTTATTTTGAACAGAGGAACGAAAGAATTAATGCAAAAATTTATTATTTTTGGATGATATACGATTTTTAAAAAAATTTTATTTAAATATTCTCAAGATTTTTATTTACTTATAACTTTTTTGTCGGTGCTCCGAAAAAATTGTGGTTTTGCACAAAGATTTTTTATAATATTCTTTATCTTCTATTAAAATCTTACGAAGGTGTTTTGCTTCGTTTTGGAGATATTAATTTAAAAAATTTTTTATTTAAAAAGGTTAATTAAAAGACTTGAAGTTAACTAACCAAACTCAAACTGCTGCATTTTTTATAAAAATATATTAAAATGTAGCGATTTGAAATTGGTCAGTTAACTTCAAGTCTTTTAATTAACCTTTTTAAATAAAAAATTTTGAAAATTAATATCTCCAAAACGAAGCCAAACACCTTCGTAAGATTTTAATAGAAGATAAAGAATATTATAAAAAATCTTTGTGCAAAACCACAATTTTTTCGGAGCACCGACAAAAAAGTTATAAGTAAATAAAAATCTTGAGAATATTTAAATAAAATTTTTTTAAAAATCGTAAATCATCCAAAAATAATAAATTTTTGCAATAATTCTTTCGTTCCTCTGTGCAGAATAATAAGTGATTTATGTTTTTGGTGAGTTTCAACATCTAATTTTTAATAGTTTTTTAATAATAGGGTTTTTAAAAAAATTGAAAAATTTAAGGTTACAAAATCACATTGTGAACCTCCTATTTTTGATATTTAATATTTTTAAAGGGAATAAAATTTTTACCATAATATTATGGTTAATGAACTCAGGGAATCATCGAGTTTCACATATATTAAAACTAGATTTTTTTAAAATTTGGTCGCAACCACTATTAGACGAAAGTCAGTGGACTGACCCTTTTATAAAAATATTCCGTAAACTTAATTATTCATATTAGTAATTATAATTATTGCTGAATTTTTCCATTATATTTAGAAAACGAAAGTATTTTTTTTTTTGTATTATTATTTTATGACTTTAGAAGTGTTTAAAGAGTGTTAAAAAGTATTTATCGAAAATTTAACTCCTTGTTTTATAAAATATTACATAGAATAATGTAATTGTTCTAATTTATTTTATTTTTCAAATAACTATTGTCAAGAACTTGCATTTAACATTGTAATTAAAAATTATAATTTAGCATTGTAATATTGTACTTGCATTTTTAATAAACAAATATTTTTCTAAAACATTTTTATTTTGTTTCAAAAAAAAAAAGGTAGATACTACTTTGATTATTACATTATACACTGGAGAAAAAATTTATTTGATTCAAATAAACGGTTACTTGAGTATTATTAAATAAATATTTATTTGTTATCAAATAATTATTTATTTGATATCAAATAATTATTATTTAAGTCAATGAAATGGTATTTATTTCAAATACAGAAATTATTGGTTCAAATAGAATTTATTTAATTTAAATAAAAATTATTTGGTCCAAGTAAATATTTATTTGATAATAGTCAAGTAATCGAGTATTTGAATCAATAAATTTTTTTTTTCAATGTAATAGTTTAAAAATTACACAACCGGTAAAAATTATACGACATTTTTTGATGTATGAAAAACATTTTAAAAGATAAAATGTACGAAAACAAAAATTTTTTTCACTATTTCCTAAAAAGGTGATAAAATTATGAGAATAATAAGACCTAAAAGAAGAAAAGTTTTTGATGTATAAAAAACATCTTAAAACATAAAATTTATAAAAACTAAAAATTTTTTCACTATTTCTTAAAAGGTGATAAAATTATGAGAAGAATAAGACCTGAAAATACTGATTTTGCCAATATTTTATTTAGATATATTTAAAAAAAAAAAATGTTTTACTTTCAATGTTTTATAAAAAATTGAACTGAAAATAATAAACATATTTTAATGTTCTTATTTAAAAATTATTTTCCATTGAATGAGAATTATATAAGCATTAACGTGTATTTTTTTTTTTTTTTTTAATTCAGAGTTGTATTGGAAAATTCGAATAATTTTAAATAATCTTTTTTAATACCAAAAACGAGATATGAAAATATATAAAGTATGATATTATTTAGATTTCTCAATGAAAATTGAGGAAAATTATTTGAATTTCAAAAATTAGTTTTCTATTAAAAAAATTTTTTTTGTAATTTTTCCACTATTTTTTTGGTACAATTTTGACGGTGTTTGCATTTTTTTAAACAAACAAATAAAATTAAACATTAATTCTTTAAATAAACATGTAGTTCTCATTCTTTGAAAAATCGTCTTTAAAATAAGCCTAAGAATTAATTAAAAATCGTTTATTATTTCAGAAAAAGGTTCGAAATTTTTATGAAACAATTTAAAAAGAAATTTTTTTTTTCTTATCGGGAAAAATGCACTTTTTAGTAAATTTACAATAAAATCGTCAAAAATCATTTAATGAAAACCTGTTTTAAAAAATATTTAACCATAAAATAAATATATTTTAAATAGGATTTAAAATAATAAATTTAATAATTTGTTAATAATTTTTTTTTTTTTGAAAAATTACTATAAAAATAGTTAATAGGTAATTAAAAAATTATTAAATAAACTTTTTGAAATAATGTATTTTAATTTTTTATTGAATTTCGTCGATTAGTTTTTGAGTATTAATTCATTTTTTACAAAAAAAAAGGTGTCAAAAAAAGTAAATAGTTAAAAATATTTAAAAAAAAACACGTTTTAAACTCTCTCATTTTTTTTATCTAAATTCAATTGTTTTTATTAGTATTATATTAATATTCTATTATTATTATTCATGTCTCGTTCTGAACAAATTTGACAAATAAAATGCAAATTATTTAATTGGGTTCAATTATTATTATTTTGTGGATAACCAATAAAAAGTAGTGTTTGTAAATTTTGTCCGAAGCCAATTGTGAATGCTCCCTTACGATCTGCAATCAATCCGTATTGTAGAATTGGCCTTATCCATTGTAATAACGGACATGTTCTTTGTTCTCTCTATATTTCGTCATTGTTAATACTTTGCCTTTGTTAACAACATATTTAGTGAAAATTTAATTCAATTTCATTTATTTTGAAATTGTTGAACGTTTTAAAATCGTAATAAAATAAATGTTTTTTTGAATAGAGAGGGATTTTCGGGAAAATTTTTATCTTTGGTACATCGATCATCGAGGTATAACCATAAATTTCTAAAATATATATACCATTTTTACCAGTTAATGAAATTTCAACTCATCGAAATTAATGTTGTTAAGGGGTGTCAATTTTTTTTCTTGCATTATTTGGTATCTAAAATTATTGTGAATTATCAAAATTTAATAAAAAAATTTTTTTTACCAGTTTAGAAAATTTTTTGAAAATATTAAAAATTTATACGATTGATTGTTCAGAATCAGTTTTCGAGAAAAATTATTTAAACAATTAAATACTCAGAAATAGAATTTTTTGAAAAATTTTTCAAATATGCCTTCACTTTTGTAAATTGTTTGAAGAATATTTTGTTAAAATTTCCGTGAAAAAAAATATTAATATTTATCGAAATAATCGCGAGTTGAACACAAAAAAGTATTAAAAATTTCGATTCTTAAAAATGACGTTTTTTGTAAATAAATAAAAAAACGGTAAGTTATACAAAAAAAAAAAATTTATTTTGGAAAAAAGATGCGCAATAAAATTCTCTATAAGAAACGACAGTACCAAGGGTGGATTAAGGGCTCCCAAGAAGGGTTAATGGGTTTTAAGGGGTCGGGGCTGGTAGTAGTTCGCCAGCTTATTTTGTTTAGTGTTCTCCTTTTTTTTTTTTTTTTTTTTTTTTACCAACCCCCACATAATCTTGGCATACGGAAGCCAAGGTATCTGTATACAGATTTCCCAAAAGTCACTAAGCAAAAAAAAAAAAAAGAAACAATAATTAAAATTTTTAAAATCCGGAGCCTCAATTAGCAATAAAAAATAATAAAAATTGCGACGGAATTTAAAATTTTTTATTTATTTATTCAATATTTTATTTTTAATTAATTTATTTTATATTTATTTATTTATTGAAGAAATAAATAATTTTTTAGTTTTTGAAAATTTCGAGTTTTTAAAAATTATTAGTAAATTAATTGTTTATCAATTTCCCATAGTATATTACGCCGTTTTTAAATATTCAATATTAACAGAAAAAAATAAAATAAATCCTAAATAATTAATAAAATGAAACAGCCTTAATTTCGAAAGGTTGAAATTTGAGCGGTCCCTCTCCCCTTAAAATGAAATGTTAAATTTATAAACTTTTGTTAATTAATAATAAATCTTCAATAAAATTTCCGAAAAAAAAAATTACACATTAAGAAGTTTATTTTTTTATTTAGTATAATGGCTGAGCAACACATTAAAAGAGAGGAACAGTCAAATATTTTTGAAAAAATGAGTACCAATGCAAAAGGTAGGAATTTTTTTCAATGTAACCAAAATATGAATATCTTTTTTTTATCTTTATAAAATATTTATATTTATTCCCAATTTAAAAAATGTTTTGGAAATTTAAACAAGTTTAAAAAAAGTTATTTTATGACTTGTATTAAAAAAAAAATAATAAAGTAAAAAATTTATTTTCTTGCTAAAAATACATATTTTAATTTACATGAATAAAAAATAATCACTGAGCGAAGAATTAATTTAAAATTTCATAATTAGAAACTATTATACTTTAGTCTTAAAAAGAAATTTTTTTTTTTCAAATATTAATTTATTTTCAGCACATGAAATCAATAAAGAAGAACCACAACAAAAACGAGTTAAATTTTCTACTAACGATTTTCTTGAAGAACTAAAAATACTTGAAAATAAAGAAATCAAAACCGGTGTTATTAATTGCAACAATGCACTTGTAACCATTGACAATCAGGAAATTAATCTTCTCAACATTACTACCGAAGTAATTTCAAAAATAAAATTTAATGATACATCTAACGATGTTGAGAATAAAGAAAATATGCATCCAAAAATTCGTAAATCACTACAAAAACATCTTGTAAATTTTAGTTCATTTCTAAATTATCTTGGCCAATCAATAACAATAAAAGAATTGGGTGAAAATAATCATGCAATTCCTTATAAATTTATTGTTTATCAAGAAAATGATTTTCGTCTTCCACGTGAAAATATTCATAAAGAAAATTTAAATAATTTTTTAATTATCATTTGTCCAACCAATTGTCAAGGTGGCGTTTTAAATTTTCGTCAATTAAAAAAGAAAATTTCGATAAACAACAATAATAATAATAATATGTTAAATTACATTATTTTTGGAATTCAAACACAATATGAAATTTCCAAAATTATTAAAGGCATGCGCATTTTAATTTTATTTAAAATTTTTAAAAGTCCTTTAGAAATAAAATCAAATGATTTTACCATTAATGATGAAGGAAAATTAAGAAATCTATTAAAAAATATGACTGAAAAAAATGTTTTAATTCCAATAACAGAAAAGAATGTTGTACAAAAAATTTGCGACGATCTTGAAATAGAATATCAACAAGTTTATTCAAATGAAGAATGTCCAAATATTGTTTACGATGATATTTCTGATAATGATCAATTAGATTATCGTCCCTATGAATATCTTGATTTTGATGATTTAATTCAGTGTTCAACAAAATTTACCGTTGGAAAATATATTAATTTTTCAAAACCACAAATTAATAGTGAGATTTTAACAAGAAGCTACAGTAAATATGATCGTCGATCAGATGAAAGCTATGAAATTGATTATTATTCTTTTATTTTAATTAATCCTTGCGATGGCATAAAAAATTATTATTGAAATGCGTTAAAAAAAATCGTTTTTTTAAAAAATTATATTCAACACTAAAAAGAAGAAATTTTTTTTTTTAAATATAAAAATATGAAAATTTTCATGTAAAATTATTATTACATCTTGTTTTTAATAATTTCAGAATTTCATCGAATTCAGAAAAGGAAAGTGTGTTTTATTTTTACGATTATTATAGAAATATGTTTTTAAACGTATAAAACAAAAATATACTCTCTAAATCTGAATTAGTAAAAATGTTTACTAATTTAAATTAGTGACTCACTTTTTGCTTTAAAATTAGTTAAAAGTTACTAATAATTAGTAAAATTTTACTAATTGAGAAGCAAAAAGTGAGTTACTAATTGGAATTAGTGAACATTTTTACTAATTCAGATTTAGAGAGTAAAGATGCGTCATTTGAAAAAAAAATAAGATTATATTTTTTTTTCCGGAGAGAGAATTTATTATTTTACATTAGTTTAAAGAAGAAATGTAAATCAATAAAAAGATATTTCATAAAAAAATTTCTTTTATTGACTTTCCTCTAAAAATTTTACATATGAGACATTTTACGTGTAATGTACTGAGTTAAAAAATTGATTTCTCGAAAAAAAGTGAAACTTGGGGAAATTATTGTCCTACCTGATAGTAAAATATCCTAAAAAATTTTTTGACTTTTTCGAAATTTTGGGGGAGATAGAGGGGGGTCAATTTTATCAGTTTTCCCTGACACCGTCTACTATTTAAATTTTTTCTGTCTATAAATGCAATAAAAAAAATTTTGTCAGGTATGTTTTTTGAAGGTTTTTTCATGTTCTTTCCAATAGTGAATTTTGACCTTGATTTTCTATAATTAAACATAAATTTGCTATTTTCACTAAAATCGATGCGTTTTTTTTTTTAAATAAATATTTGCAAACGAAAGCCAAAACTAAAAATTTGAGGTCCAAAACTAAAAATTTAAAGTCTAAAAATAAAAATTTATTTAATTGATTGATATTTAGCCAATGTTATTGAAATATACATTATTTTGAAATATTTCAGAAACATTGTTTCCAAGACAATCATGTGTCTCAAAGATCTGTAAAAAATTTAGATTAATATATTCAGAAATTTTTAAAAAATGTTGTAAAATTTTTTCTGTAAAAAAATCTGTTAATTTGTAAAAAGATTGTTGCAAAAAGTTATAAAAAGATTAAAATTTCAAAAATGTAAATAGTGACCACGTGCTTCTATGTAAGAAGTCTGTCGATTTTCTTGGACGTAAGTATCATATTGTGAAACAATGCTGAAAATTCTGTCTTCCATCATTTGAAAAGAATTACGCGGAATGTTTCTTTCCCGCTGAAATAAAATGAAATTTGATTGGATTTTATATTTTTTGGACTTTTCAATATTGGACAATTTTTATTTTGGACTTCTGGGGATCACTGACTACGAATTTGATGAATCTGAAGTTCATTTTCAAATATTCAAAATGGCGGACGATTTACTAAAACTATATCAGATTTGCTTGAAACTTTTTACTTAGGGGTTTTTGGGGTCCCTGATTACGAATTTAAAATTGGTTTTAAAAAATTCAAAATGGCGGATCCAATATAAATATTATAATATTATTTTTTAATTATCGAAAGAATAAATTTTGCTCATTGTGAAAAATGAGGTCAATATTATTTTATATTAAATAAAAAAGCTCAAAGCTATATAGTACCAATACATGACAGGTGCTACTGTTGCAATCCAGCAAAATAAATATTAATCATAATATAATGGAAATAAATTAAAATTATGATATCAACATTATTTACGAAATTGTAATTTAATTAAACTTTTTATAAAATTAAATTATAATTTTGTATAATTTTTTCCTCTTTCGTTATTTTTATATATGAAAAGCAAAAATTCGTGTATATAATAAAGTTTTTCACTAATAAATGGAAATTCGACGTTTTAACATTATTATCTAATGAAAATTCGGATAAGTGAAACTTCGGTCAAATAAAATATCGATAAAATAGAAATTCTCTATCTTAAAAATTCATCTAAGAAGAATTTCTGTTAAATGACAATTTTATTAAATAAAAATTAGATTGTATTGAAATTTGTTGAATAAAACTTTTGTTAAATAAGAATTTTGTTATATAGAAATTCTTTTAATTGAAAATTCTGTTAATAAAAATACTTTTAATCGATTATATAAAAATTTATTTTTATGAAAATTTTTCTAGATATTAATTTTGTTAAACGGAAATTGTATTATTTAAAAATTCGATATAAAAATCTACTTTATCACCAGTCCAGTTAAATAGAAATTCTACAAAATCAGAATTTTATTAAACAGTAATTTTTCGATATTAAAATTAGGCTCATTATAATTTTTTTTTTTTTTTTAATTCTATTAAATGTAAATTCTATCATTTTTAATTTGACACCACAAACATTCCGTCAAGTCTAATGAAGGGAATATTCATGCATCCCTCCCCCAAGGGACTACTCTTTCGGAAGAAATAAATTTTTATTACATTATTTTAATTACATTTATCATTGTGTAACTTGATATAATTATAAAACTCATGCTTTGTTAATAAAATTTTGATGAGAAAGCAATGTTTTCGGGAAATAAACACAAAAATTCATACAATAACTTGGCAGCGGTTTTAATATTGATAACACACAATTTAATATTTAAATCAGTTAATTAACTAATTAATCAAAGGACATTGTTAAAATTATTATCCAAATGCCATCACGCCAAACGCTACAATGCCAATACCCGCTATAGTACCCATAATTTTCTTAATAGTACTTTTATTCTCTTCTTCTAATTTTCTCAGTTTTTCTCTATTGTCTTCTTCTTCCTTTTTAAGTGCATCTTCATCCTTTCTTAATTTCTCTTGATATTCTCGTTCTTTTATTTCTTTTAATGTCAAAAGAATATAATTAATCAGTTTTTTTAGTTTGAAAACAGAATTCAATAAAATTCCATTAGTTTAACTGTTTCAAATAAATTATTTTTATCAATAGTTTCTTTAATGTCAATATCAATTATTTTGAGAATTTCTATTTTTTTATAGAAATCCTTTTCATTACGTGCAGCATTCAATAAATCGTGTTTTTTGTTGATTTTTTCATTTAATATATTGAGTTCATTTTTTAAACTAAAATTATTTCTAATAAAATTTTCTGTATAATTAACATTCATGTCAATTATGTAACTCACAATATTTTCTAATTCATTAAATGCTGACTTTGAAAACAATTTCTCTCGAATAGTAAATAAAGAGAGTGTTGAAGATTCAGAAATACTTGGATTTATTTCCTTTAGAGAATTTTTCTCAATGCGATTGGAGTTTTCAATAGCAGGAAAAATATTCACATCAATATCAGAAGTGACAAGTCCAATTTTAGGTCTCTTAAATAAAGCAATGAGATTATTATTCTTCACTAAAAATTGTATAAACTCTTTAGAAGAGTTAGATAATTTCATTTCACTACTTGATAAAAATTGTGCCTCTAATTTTGCATTTATAAATTCCATATCTACTGGAACGTCATTTAGAGTATTTGGGACCTTTGTAAAAATTATTGATATACTTGTAAAATAATTTTTCATCTTGTCACCTAATAAATTTTCAACGGCATTTAAAACAGATAAAAATGGTTTGACATTGTCAGTAAGAATATCATTTATGTCGACAATTAAAACAATTTTTAGAGAATTTACATTTTTCACCAATTGATAGAGATAAAAAGCATTACTGATGTCCTGAACTGCTCCTCTATTATCATCAAAGCCAGGAGCATCCCAAATAAATAAATCGATAAAATTCTTTGATGTCCATTTTGTAGGGATTGCAGTGTTTGATGCTGTACCACGACCTATTTCTGGACCCATTGATTGTTTGTCTACTTTTTCTATTGTAGTAGGATCGAACCTCGAATTTCGAACAGCCTTTAATTTGTTGCCAATCAAATAATTAATTAGAGTACTTTTTCCAGATCTTGTATTACCAATGCAAATAGCTACATCTTCATTTTTCACTTCCCTTGACATATGTATATTGTTCCGAATCATGGAGAACTTTTTGTAACAATTTTAAATCATCTTCAGAGATTGTAATATTGCTACTGTTGACTACTGAAAGTACAGTAAATACGATGGCTATTATTGTTCTTAATATGCTCATGATTGATCAAAGATAATAATATAAAAAAACGACGTAAAATTATTGACCAAATGGTATTTTCAAGATTTTGCCGATGCTTTTTTAGCACTGAAAAAAATAAAATGATTTAATGTACGTCCATTTAATGACATGGAATATGATATACAGTCAAACCTCGATAAGTGAGAATCCAAGGGACCGAAAATTTCTTCTCACTTATCGAGGTTTCTCAGTAAGACAGGTTCTCACTTATTAAGGTCGAAGAGTGGGTTTTCTCACTTACAGAGGTTATTGCACTGATAGAGGCTTTTTAAGGGTTTTGTTAATTAATGTTTCACTTTTACGTAATAAGAAATTTCATATAATTATTTATTTAACAAGTTTAATAAAAATTGTTATTGCTTTAAGCTTTATATGAAAAAAGTCTGTTATTACTGTTTGTTTTTTAGTTTTGTTTAGGCCAACAAAATTATTTGGTTGAACATTTTTAAATTCCAACCAAAATTTGGTTTCGACAACAAAATAATTTGGTTAACACAACAAAATAGTTTGGTCTAAAAAACCAAATGATCGTTTGTTGTCCTAACCAAAATTTGGTTGCGACAACCAAATAATTTGATTCGCTCTCAGCTCATAGCCTAAGAGAACAGTACAATTCTTGAAGTTATCTAGTTTAAAGAAATAAAACGGATTCGATTAACTGTCTAATTAATTAAAGTGTCTCATTCACTATTTTATGGTGTGTGTTCAGTGGTTAACCAAGGATAAATGTGTCTGTGTTCAGTGCAAAAACACGTGGTGTAATAGGATTACAGTTAAAAGTGAGCCACATGCAAGCCAACACTGCAAATAATATCTCAAAGGGAGCCAAAAGAGCACTAAATAACTCCGATGGCATCAAAGATGTGGAGGAAAATCCGTC